GCACCAATATGGCGCTGGACATCTTCCGTAGATATACCTTGTGAAAGAAACGCGTCATAGTTAATGTTTCTGATGTAGGGACCCGCGTCTCCCTCTTATTTGCCAATATATAAGACAGCATTTTTTTTTACAATTTTTTTCACTTATTTGTTCATTTATTTAAAACTTTTTAAAAGTCTTTCTTCAACTGTACTAAGCCTACTGGCGTTTCATGTGCTCGTCTACAGTAGTACTGACTAGAGCCTATTACAAAATGTATCACAAAATATTTCCCTTCAGCATATTTGTTTAGGCCTATATTCCATTTGTTTTACGTCTTACATTAATTTGCATAGTCTACAGTAGCCTAGGATCCAATAATCATATCACCACACGTTTAGCCCTTATCAATGATGCATCTACCTTTTAAAATACACGAACCATCAGCTATATTCAGCACAGCCAAAAAGATAACTAGGCTTAGCCTAGACAATATATAGCACCTGATTAAATATCACATATAATTAAGATTTAAAGTAAATAAATGCACAAGTTAACCTTTGCCTATTTAATACAATAGTGAACACTAAGGAACTGTAAATACTTGAGGCTTGCGGCCTCCATCCAATGCTTTCCAAGTTAAAGATAATAACCACTCATACCCAACCGAGAGGGATTTGATGTTATTGGCGTCGCAGCGTCTAGGTCACTGATGCCAACTCATGCATGGGGGAGTAATAGAAATTGGTGAAAGCCGAGAGCGAGGTGAAAGGAAGGACAAAGACGAGAATGAGATAAAGGAACGGGACAAAGGAGAAAAATGAGGCGGGGCGAGTGTTGAAGAGGGGAATGGACGAAGATGAGAGGAGTGTTGTTTTAGCCATCATAATATGTACATAAGAGGCAAACATATTTGTAAATCACTTATCATGGGTGAGGCTTAACAAAGCGTGATCGAGCAAGGAAGTGCATTAGTCCTGAATGCTCAGCTGTACAGGTGGCCGGCCTCGCTATTAGTGAAATAACGTTGGTAAGCAGCCATGAACCTTAACAGCCTTGAGCAATTAAACTATCAAGAGAAAAATAAAATGCCAGCTTACATTCAACTAGGGCATAGCTTAGACTGCTGTGGTCACGCTGCTACTCAACCCCAATAAAACGCTGGATTTAAAATAACCAAAGTGCTCTACTAATTTTACCATTCAGCCAAGACGTATTCAAAAAAAACTTTATTAGCTATTATTCTGAATATAAATACCGGACCATATAAAAGATTATATACTAAAGTTTTGTTTGGTCATGATGTTCCCTTACGACACAAACACAAGCATTTTTATAGCCAGATCTTACTCACGAACTATGTTGGTCTCCCTGTAAGCTGCAACAGGATTGCACACCACTGCCCACAGGATGATGCCCACATGTGGGTCCATTATTCACTTGCAAGTGTCCTAGTCCACCACGTCTAAAGGTTAAGTCAAGGGTCTGCACACATACTGCACGAGTGCCAGGTAGGTACAGTAGCTGGGCCGATGCACTCTCACCTTCACCCTTCATTTTTATTTCAAGCTGAATTAATGAACGGTGTTCGCATTTATGCACGAACCATGCATTGAGTGATTTATTTAATGCTTCATTATATCATCACTATCCCGTTTCTCACCTCCATGTGGTGTGAAGACATCAGCTCGGAAGAACCAATAGTAAATATGTTAGAAAAAGAATATTACAGATATCCAAACCAGCCCCAACCATTCTTCACATTTTCCACACTAGCCTACAAAGGCTACGACCAATTTACATTGAACCAGCACCATCACACTCTAGCAACATCCTTAGGGCCCAACCACTTCACACAACCAGAGTAAAATGCTTGTCGCGAGCTGTCATTTAAAACTGGCAAACATTCATTCACAACAAATCGTTTTCATGTTTACACTGTTCACACACAATTCCAGCTTCCTCACACACTCACATATTTGCCAACCTTAGCAGCCTTCCTCTCCCCCTTTCCGTCTTATCAGATTAAAATCTAGATAGACATAATTTGCAGAAATCTAGTGTTCACCATTATAACTGATACACACATGGTAATAATTTATAACTGATTATCATGTGTATCAACTGTTGATACACATGATACGCGTTGACTCACGGTAATACTTGGTCATTTGTATACACTGTGACAGCCTTGAGCACATCCCACAGTCATGAGTCACCTAAACCCCTACTGTACTACTCCATCAAGAGTGGGTTAACAAGTAAACACAACTATACGGCCTAATGAGCCATTACAACATTACATGAGAGTATTACTACTATTTGTACACCCGGGATAGTATTGGGCTATACGTACACCCAAGCGAGTAAAGGGACATGAGTAGGCTACAAACATTGTCTAACAGAGTGCAGAGTTACAAACCCATTAAGATTTCAACTTAGATTCAACAGAGCAGAAGTTGTTAAACACATGGGACAAAATCTTACTGAAGCGACCATAAGAGTCATAAATACTCATACTTTGCCCAAGTAAAACAGAAACAAGCAACACTTGGTGGGTCAGCCAGAGGCTTGGGGCCCGCGCATGAATATTCCTAAAAAAAAAAAGGGTAGGCTACACCCCTTCCCCCTCCCCCACAGCCATACCGGACCAAGAGTACATTCCATGGTAGTAATGGGTCTTGAATAACTCAACGGTGGTATCGAGTCATAAGTACACCTTACGGTTGCACAGTGTTGCACATGTATAACCTACACACCTACTGACTGGAATGAGTGAGATGGCTTAATTAAATCACTTCATGAACATTGTGGAAATTCTAAAGTCATTTTTCCTTACTTCCGGACGCATCTAGCCTTGGCTAGTAAACAGTTAACAAAAAAAAACTTGAAATTATGACCTCTATTAAAGTTTTCTATTTATTTGAGTAGACAAACATGATGAATCCGCGTCACGATGAAGATACACAACGTGTTAACTTTGGCCTTGTCCTGAACCATGTTCAAGAGTGATTTATACTTGCTCGTTGTTCACTAAGTTTATGTCACGACTTTAATAAATCTCGTGGTTGCTAGGCCTAATTCCAACACCAAAACCTAAGGCCACTTTATCTTGTAGCGGCCATAATTTGGTACCTCAAAGGTTGCAGGCAACAGCGATGTACACATAAAATATAACAATGTAACTGTTTTAAGAAGAATTTCGTTATAAAACTGACAGATCCGCACATGAGGATGGATCTTCCTGGAGAGAGGAGGCGGAAGCGATAAAACATTGTTACCTGTTACTGGTTTGCTTAACATCACTTAACATCATACAACACATTACTGCAAGCAACGAGATTGTGCTGCATTAAGATTATAAACACCAACAGTCACACCATATATACGTTGTTCCTGCAGCCGTTTAATGGGCGTATAGTGGTATTGTTTGTGGGGCACCACGGGCATAGAGGCCGTCATGAGGAGTTGAGAAATTATAATTAATTCTGAGTCCGTCGTGGGGAGTTGAGAAATTATAATTACTTCATTGTGTCGGGGACTATGCTAGCATATACATATATTTCTGATCATCGCCTAGTATTTCTTCCTGTAAACATGACAAGCTAACACATTCAATAGACTAAGACACATAAGGCTTTCTACTAAGATGGTTCCTAGCCTACTGTGGTATTAAGGCAAGAGTGGGAAAGGCTGGAAGGTAGGCAAGCCTGGGGCAAGGCAGCCAGGCTGAAAGGCAAGAGTGGGCAAGGCTGATTGGTTCAGGTGTTATCTTTCCTGAGCTTCGTTATCTCCCCGTTGATATGTCCCCCTCCTCCTACAACCAATCCCTTCCCTAGCCACCGTTAACGCCCAGCGTCAAGCTCTAGCAGCCCCTGGCCACCGTCAGCCCCTACGCCAGGTTCTAACAGCGTTACTGGTCAAACAGCAGCCCTACCCGCCGTCAGCCCCTGCGTTAGGCTCCTGCAGCAGCCTTGGTCGCCGACAGCCCCTACATCAGCCCTGACCGCGTCAGACCCCTACATCAGCCCTGGCCGCCGTCAGGCTCTAGTAACATCACTGGCCCTCGTTACCCCCTGCGTTAGGCACCAGCAGCATCCCTAGCTGCCTTAGCCCCCTGCGTCAGGCTCGAGCAGCATCCCTAGCTGCCTTAGCCCCCTGCGTTAGGCTCGAGCAGCATCCCCTAGCTGCCTTAGTCCCCTACATCAGGCTCGAGCAGCATCCCTAGCTGCCTTAGCCCCTGCGTCAGGCTCGAGCAGCATCCCTAGCTGCCTTAGCCCCCTACATCAGGCTCGAGCAGCATCCCTAGCTGCCTTAGCCCCTGCGTCAGGCTCGAGCAGCATCCCTAGCTGCCTTAGCCCCCTACATCAGGCTCGAGCAGCATCCCTAGCTGCCTTAGCCCCCTACATCAGGCTCGAGCAGCATCCCTAGCTGCCCTAGTCCCCTGCGTCAGGCTCGAGCAGCATCCCTAGCTGCCTTAGCCCCCTGCGTCAGGCTCGGGCAGCATCCCTAGCTGCCTTAGCCCCCTACATCAGGCTCGAGCAGCATCCCTAGCTGGCTTAGCCTCCTACATCAGGCTCGAGCAGCATCCCTAGCTGGCTTAGCCCCCTACATCAGGCTCGAGCAGCATCCCTAGCTGCCTTAGCCCCCTACATCAGGTTCGAGCAGCATCCCTAGCTGCCTTAGCCCCCTACATCAGGCTCGAGCAGCATCCCTAGCTCCCTACATCAGGCTCGAGCAGCATCCCTAGCTGGCTTAGCCTCCTACATCAGGCTCGAGCAGCATCCCTAGCTGGCTTAGCCCCCTACATCAGGCTCGAGCAGCATCCCTAGCTGCCTTAGCCCCCTACATCAGGCTCGAGCAGCATCCCTAGCTGCCTTAGCCCCCTACATCAGGCTCGAGCAGCATCCCTAGCTGCCTTAGCCCCCTACATCAGGCTCGAGCAGCATCCCTAGCTACCTTAGCCCCCTGCCTCAGGCTCGGGCAGCCCCCCGCCATAACATGCCCGGTGTGGTACTCACTTCGTGCTGCCTGGTACAGATCCTTCACTTCCTTAATGAGTGCCTTGATGGAAGAATTCGTCTGGTCCAATTCCTTTTCATGGGCATGTAGTTTTTCCCGAAAGTAAGGACTGTCATTAAGACAGTCCTTAAACTCAAGAGGCATCAGACCCATTTTGGTTATATCATATTACCAGACAATAACCTGCACATCACAACACTGACACAATTACAGAGCTCAAGACACACACGACTCCCCGCACCGGAGAATTCTCTCTAACTGGTGATACTCGTGTCAACTTTGGTGAATAATACGTTATCTTGACAAGTCTTTTGGAAACTCTATTGGGGATATTAGTAGTACTGGATAGTTTAATATTGGTATTAGATCTTTATTTATTTCAAATATGTGATGTGTTTTTGTTTAAAGATGTTGCCTAGCATAGAAATTGTGTCGTTTATACTTTACCCAGCCAACCAACGGTAGAGAGAGCCACTTGTTGATTCAGTTTTCTATGGTAGTAAAAGAGCGCGCACTTTAATAAAATTCTTATACCTAGTAGCCCCCTATTTTTTTTCTTTAAAATCTTACCACCTGTGTTAAATGGAATAATATTAATAAAATATTGTACATTCAGAAAATGTTTCAACAAAATAATAACTAGAAATATTCGAGAATTACTCATATTATAATGGGAGTTTAGAAACCCAGAAATTATTTCTATTCTAAGGTCGGAAGCCTTTACCTTATATATGCACAAATAATGAAAGGTTGAACACAAAAGAATTACAGCAAATCATAATTTGGAGCATCCTTAATTTTCTGAGTATTTATTATGTATTCCTAAATTCTTTTAAATACGTGCAGTGTTGTACGTATATAATGTTTGAAAAATAACAATAAGTTGTATTTAATTTAAGGATACTAACACGCAGAGCGTTTTGGGCATAAAATGGAAAAAACTAAAAAGAGATAAAAAAAATAATGAATTGCGGTAGATTAATAGATTGATAAATCGAGACCACTAGTGCTAGTGGCCCTCGGGTAAAATTCAGGAAATGTTCAGATTTAAGCAATTCAATTCAATTTCTTTCTTTATTATGCACCCCATACCCATCTCGTGGGCGGTGGTGTAAAGGATTACAGAGGCACATAATCGGTTCAGGAACTGAACCCTGGGCCAAAGTGCTGTCTGGGGCTTGAGTTTGTAATTGTTCTAATGGATGATTTGTGTCGAGTAATTAGAGGTATTGTTTATTCTTAGGTTAATTTTATCTGTGGATTTATTATCAAACAAAAATAGAAGGTTTTAAAAATTTTTAAGGGTGAGTTTGTTAGCAGTTAACCAAAGATGGACTTTTTAGTTCAGTATTCACCTTGTTCATTCAGAATAAGAGGGTTAGTCTGAAATTGTTAGCTTTAGTGAGATCACCACTTTTATGGACTGGGAATACTCTTACTTTTGTTAGAACATCAGGAAAGGTTCAGAGTCCAGGTGATTTCTTACCGAGCAAGGCAATGGTTGGAGCTAAAAATCTTGAGGCTTTTCTTGTAAATTAGGGTTGGTATCTCAGCAAGGGTTCTAGATTAGTTTTAAGTGTTATGATTATATCCCTTACATCTGAGGAATTAGTGTAAGTTAGGTAAAGAGACTCAGGATACCTGTATGTAAGGTAGTCATTAATATTGGTTAGGGATGCTGGGATTTCATTTGCAAAGGATGTTCTGATAGATGAGAAGAATCTATTGATATTGATCTATTAATGTGTGTAAACTACAACAAATATCCCATTAATATTTGTATCACCCTGTTGTATTTTTATATTTTAAATAGAAAATATCTAAAAATTCTTTTATATTTTCCTTTTGTATATAGATAAAAAGTTTAAATTAGGCAACATTTAAGGCATGCAGAAGACTACACTCAGCAACTTTATCATTATAGGTTAATATAAGTCAATTAGGGTTTAGTTTCCTATTGATGGGGGACAGGAAATCTGTCAGGCTTATTGAGGTTCCGCAAGTTAGTTTAGTTCAGTTCACTTGTAATGCAGCCCATACCCATTCCGTGGTCAGTAGTGGAAAACATTACAGGCATGTAATAGGTTCAGGAACTAAACTCCAAAATTCCTTTAGCTAAGTTACAGTCTTTATAAGCTAGTTACAGTTTAATGTATGTATCATCAATGGGTTCGATAACCTCAAGTAGTCTCTAAGCTAAGCAACTTACATTTGCGGTAGGGTAGTTTCATAATTCAATTTGCTTATTATGCACACCACCCCCATCCAGTTAGCAGCAGTGGAAATGTTACAGTCTCCCGCATTTGCTACCTACAGTTAGCAAACTGGGGATACATTACTTGGCTAAAATTTCTGCCATAAGACTAGGTCAACAACTGACCTTCACCTAGCAAGATGCAATCCAAAGCATGTAGTTGCCTTACTTAAGGTACTGACAACCAGCATTGTCAGTGCTTTTTTGATCTCTTTAACCATCTCCAACATTATTATAAGATTAATTGGTTATAACAGACATAGCCACTGCACTAATTACTTAAGGCAGCCTTAAAGCCTTTTATAAGCCTTTCTTCCTGGCGAGTCCCCTCAGTGGCTTCCTGTTCCTACCCTTTCTTCTGGTGTTTTTGGGAATCGTCTCTTTGTGACAGAAAAGTGTGATGATCAGCTGGCCGGAGTCCTGGGTTGCAATATGATGGTGGCAGAGTGTAACTAGCAATTGTAACTAGCTAATTAGCATGTGCACAGTTGCCAATGTTTCTCCCAACAGTTACTACTTTTACGGTAGTCTTACTTTTATAATGGTCATTTCCTCTTGGGTTGGGTTGATCTAGATTAGTTGATTAAACTCTCTTTGCATCTAACGAGTGGACTAGATTCTGCAATGGCCTGGTGGGGTATGGTAGACTTGGAACTTATCAAGCGACTGCCTCAGGTAACCACTGATGGGAGCCCTAACAGAAACATTTGATAAAATGAGACAAACCCAAAAAGTATCTCCTCTAGTGGGATACTTAATAATTAATTTCAATCAATCTTTGAACCATTTATTTATAAACAAACACAATCGTCTAATGAATTACAATGCTAGTTAAGGCATGCATCAAGAAACACACGGCATCTGCTCAAGCATCAACAGAACTCTGGCCATCATATTAAATAAATAAGAGTTGAATGCTACTCTCATAAATTGGTCTATACACTAATCATGTGCCATCATTTGCACTTAAAGTACAGGACAGAAAACCTATGCACAATAAGCCATGGATGTATTCTTTATGGTCTTCAGCCCATTTGGTTTCTTTTGATTAAATACAATATGTCAAAACAATAAAAATAATGAAGTTGTAAAATAGAAATAACCCTTTATCAGTTATATAAGCTTATTAGTATACAGTATGTACTGTATCTCTACGTTGTCTGTTAACATTTATAAGAGTTCACAAAAGTCCTGCTTATTAATTTATTTTAAATTTATATGTGAATTTTATAAATAATAGCAATTCTATATACAAAACCCAAAGAAAATGCAACTTCTATGTATTACAACTAATTACGGTACAGTATCATACATACAGAAAATCTGGATATTATAGTTTCTTAGTTCCATTCATAGAAAAATAGATTTTTACATGTATTAATAAATATTTTCCGTATTAATAATAATGTCATCTTTCATTACATCACTTAAATTCTATAAATACAGTACAATGATATCAATCAAATTTTAAATAATTGACAGATTTATAATTACAGTACTGTATACATATCTGTATATTTTACCCATTATTTATTGCAAAATGTTGTCGTAAAAATCTATAGGATCAAACAGCATTACATTTAACTTTTCATATGTAAACAAAGTTAGAATTAATATTCTAAGGAAAACTAATTAAATACATACAATATCTCCAAGGCTACCGCTTCCATACACCATATTTCTTGCTTGAAAGTTAAACGTTACCTAATAAATTCTTCGGCCGAGTCTACTGCACTTCTCTTCAGCAAGCAACTTTTTCCCTTCATTTGCTTTTCTCCTCTTCAACTTCTTCCTCCTCCTCCTCAGAGTCATCCTCATCACCTTCTTCATCGTCATCATCATCATCATCATCATAGTCATCATCATAGTCATCATAGCTATTGCCGTATCCTACTGCACCTTCTTCATAGTCATCATCAGGACCGTCTCCCAGTTGTTGCCGCCCAAACTTGTGGGTGCGAGCTATGAGAAGACAAACATCATTAATGTGCCTAAAAATATATAAAGGGAATGTAACAAAAGACCCAAAATATAGCAAATAAACTATATTTGCTTTCCAATTTCTGTAATCTGAAATACCTGTACTGATAAATATATTACTGTAGTAACAAAATATACCAATACATAAACTATATTATTAAATGATGATAACAATATATACTATATACTTAAATTCTTCATTCATTCATTTCCATTACTATGTTTCCCCACTGTTGTGAGGGTGGGGAGACATCAGTCCAGAGAGAAAAAGGGAGAAATTTGGCGAGTCGTGTAACAAACATATACTGTAGAGTGTGCCATTCATTACACCATTCCCACTTTATAACATCACAGATAGGCAAGCGAGACCACACACAAGCAGTCATTCACAGTAGCATCCAACTGCTTCATAAGCCCAGGTGTACAGTGCTTCTTTCTGAACCTCAGTGTACAGTACTGTACATTCACTCTTGTCATTACAAACCACTGCCACCCAGCCTAGTCCCTTATCACATTTGGTGTATTGTTCACACTCACTCCCTGCTTCCTCAAACACCATTTAAAAACATCAGAAATGATTTCTTATTGCAATACTGAACTAAATTACAGAGAAATCACAATAGCGTGATGCATCAAATGAACAAATCCACAAGGGCCGTGGCGAGGACCGTATCTTTCTATATCTTTGATGCCTTATTCTCAAGGTGGAAACTTCATGTAGAATTCTTAGCCATCCAAATGGTAAAAATGCATTTAATGATTCCTAAGTATAAGAACAAAAAAGTTATCATCTGGCTCAACAAATTCCCTTGCTTGCCTTCTGACTTGTATTCAAGCACGGAGACTTTAGCTATAGATGGCAGAAGAAAGTGCCATGCAGGAAAGCCAAAATCAATAAATTGATAAACCATGACATGTTTTTGTTGCCAGGTTTCAATATTTTACCAGCATCAAATGTGAAGTTGTTTTGTCTAACCAGAAGCGTACACACCTTGGCAGCCCACCAAATCTATCAAGGCTGATGCTCATTAATGTGAATCAGTGTCAATATTGAGCTGCTTTTAATTTTCCTAAAGTACTGGAATTTTGAAGTTGTGGTTTATGGTATTAAAACTGCAGTACATTACAGGTGAGCACAAGTTGTATTCAGCATTAATCAGGCATATTAATCACAAATCATTCATGCTGATCAGTATTTATCAGATTAATTTCTGATAAAAATCTTTTTTGTATCAAGTACCTTAGGTGTCTTACCTGTTCATTTAGCTAAATAAAATGAAGAAAAGTTTCAATTTTTGTTTAATTCCTGTAATAGCGAACATCCTTGCAAACAATCTGTATAAAAATTATTACGTACTTGACATGCTGAGTTCCTTAGTTTCCTCAGTATCATAACCACATTTGGGACAGGGAATCTTCTGCTTGTTATCATACTTGAAGCCTTTCCTCCGCACATGTTCTTCACAATAACAAGTCTTGCACCGAAGACACGAGTACTGTCCATGACGATTGCAAGACAAGCCTGAAGGAAAAAATAAAATAAAATATATTGTCTTTGGGCAAGTCACTTGCAATGGAAACCATTCAAAATAAGATAGTTTGATTACACAAGGATAATCAAAAAGGGTATCCATAGTCTCCTATGGTGACACATATATATATACAGTATCTAGATACTAGGAGGGCATCTGGTTGCACCTGGGGGCTCTCTCCACTCCTTTCCCACTTCCACCTCTCTCATCTCTGTTAAAATCTCTTTCCTGAGCACAGAAATGTAGGAAATAATTAAAAACAAGAACTTACTTTGGCTGCAATGAAGTGGAGAAGATGAGCTATAACATCACGGCCTGATGTTCACCAATGCCGGAGATTCCTGGAGCTGGTCAAGCGGGGGATTCAACACACTTAACTTGCCACGAATATATTCATGTCCTTTTTTCAATGCATTTTTATTGCTATCTTATTGTTTGTTTTGCTTATCTTATGCACATCTATGTAATTGACATTATTTACAGAGTAGAACATTCATAATGTTCCAAGAAACTGTGATGTCACTTATGTGTCCATAAAAATGTTGTCACAATATTATTTGAGACAATAAGGAATAGCAGTCCATATAGCACAAGGCAGCTTTACATTCAACACACCAGGTACACAGAGATTTTTCCATCCTCATCTCTCTGTTCTGTGTGCTTGCAAACAACACACTCACGTACACCTTTTGCAAGACTTCCTGTATTTGGTGTGTGACCAATCTTGTGTAGTGTGAGGGCATCTTTGCAAGTCAGTTTGTTGGGAGCAGCGCAAAGCATTGCTAGTGCATAAACCTTTGTCACAACACTACTTCTCTGGCTAAACTTCACAAGTAATTGTGAAAAAGAAAGCAAAACTAAAATTATAGACTAGTGGTTTCTTGCCAGATTTTACCAAATGCTGCTTGTAACAGTTCAGCACTGTTGCACCTGGATGAGGTTCTGAGTTCTACTACTTCCCAGCCTGACCTGGGGCCAGGCTCGACTTGTGAGAACTTGGTCCAACAAGTTGTTAATTACCAACTGGTACAAAATACAGGTTGGTATTTCTGGTACAAAATTATAAAAATCTTCCCACACGAATACACCTATAGGCTGCATTCAAATAAATCATAGTGGGTTGCAAAATTGAAGTGATTCCTGTTTTCTATTTGTGGATCTTTGGTTAGGTTAGGTTTGGGCAATCTAGTATCTCGATTTAGTGATGCTGGAAATGCTTGAGAGGATGGGCTGAATCATCAACAAACTGGATGATCAGAATGTCAACCATTAAGGGTCATAAGGGCAGTGACCTTTGGGAACACCAGAACATAGATACCAGTTATAAAGTTCAAATATTAAAAACAGATATACTGTACTCACATTTATAGGATTCTTGCTCTAATACTTGGCACGAAGCTTGGTGCTCAAACTGGTCATCATCACACAAGAAATTCTGACAGTAATGACAACGGAAGATTCGGCCACCATGACTCCAAACCTATGGAGTAGATCATTATTATAACATTATAACTTAATTCACTTTGGTTTATGACTTGATCAATCAGGTGGCCACTTTTAATAACTTCTGAGAGTAGCAGAATGATGTGCTTAAAAGATGCTCCTCTCAAACACAAAATATGTATTTAAGACGTACAACTGTAAATACAGTACCAGAAAAAATATTCCCTTATAAAAAACTTTGGCATGGGACCTAATTCTAATTTGGTATACTGTACTGCTAAATGGATATAGAGAAAATTAATTTAAAGGTTACACTACAGTATGGTACTTACATCTCGTTCACATTCTATACACGTGGCATCGACAAGTGGACACGTGCAGGGATGGGTCTGGAGACACTTGCGTCCATGACATATCCACGCCTCGCAGAAGTCACAGATAGCTCCCTGAAATGTAGGAATATGTCACTAAAAGTTACATTAATGATACAAAATAATACCGCTACCATTACTGTGCTGCTTATTAATTTTAGTGACAATGCAAAAAATTTTTAGAGGCACAATATACATGTAGTTCAACAAGAAAGCACCATACTCAAACTGAGCAGGACAAAAGAAAATGCCCCTAACTTGTAACTATGTTATCCAATCTTGAAATCAATAGCTATGAAAGGTTGACCAGCAAAAAAAACTGAAGCCTATAATGAAGGCTCAGACACGAAAACCTCCATCAGTCATTAAGCAATACCACTAATTACTAATCAGAATCCATTCTCTGGTCAGTGCCTGGGTACACCACAGGAGAAGTAGACTCCCACTGAGGAAGAAAAAACCTATAGCTTCAAATGAAGATAGGGAGAACTGGAGCCCCGAGAGGTAGTCGTGTCCTCACAAGAAACCCCTTCTTCCCAACACAATGCAAAGAGATCACAGCCTTTAACTGCACTAATGTTTTGCAGGAGGAAGAAACAGTTTCACTTAGATTTAGCAGCAAACCGAAGAAATTTGGGAACCAAGCACTTAATGCCAGATACATCAGCAGTAGAAGCACTCAACAACAATGTTCGAGCAGAGCTCTTGGGATCCTGAGGTCAACAGAATTCCTATTGACTGTGGGGAACCCAGCCAAAGTGATACTCTTGGATACGACACTGCAAGGAATTTGCCTTTCATAATTCCATTTTGCGTTACACTTACTTTTACCCATTTTTGCTAGTGTGACATAGAGTAGCTGTTGTTTAACCTTTGCCATCCATTATTCACAATCTTGTTTTTTTTCAATAAATAACATTTAATTTTATATTCATCCACTTAGGGTAATTACTGTTTAATCTGAGAGATTTATATGGAATATTATATTTCTGAACATTAAGGATATCTTTAAATATATGTAATAGTCATCTACAAAGTACTCCAGTGTCAGGTCACTCGCTGTTGCAGGTGTGTCATCATCCAAGAACTGCCCACTCTGTGTGTTCAAGACCGTCTAATCTACATGCATTAGTTCTTGTTTTAATCCTCACTATCAGTTTTACGAAGATATGGGACAACGACAGAATTTTCTCGTAACCAATTTTTCAAATCTGATTTCTTTATGGTTACTGATACTTAATCACTAAATTCTTTTATGTTATTGGTTTAGTGCCCTACTGTTTACTAGTCAACGTCAATTTTTCTTGGTTTACTGTACACAAGTACTGAAGGATTACTGTTGAAGACAGCAGTTTTAAACTACTGTACTACTTCCAAAATCTCTTCAGCCACAGTACTTCCCATTCTGTTTGCCCAATTTATATTACTGATATTAAAGACACTTACAATGCAGATTTTATTATACACAGATGCACTACGATACTCTATACGTATATGACTCCAATTCATTCTATTCAAGTATGGTGGGCCAGTATACACAACTTCTTCTATTAGGTTATCATCAGCTTCATTCAGTTCTAACCAGATTATTCTGAATGTTTGAATAAAATTTTAAAATGCTCTCTGGCAAACACTGCTACTTCCCCTCCTTGTCAAACTAACTACTGTATTGAAATAAACTACGTACTGTATATACCTAAGCTTAGTATTTCACTAACATTGTTCTGGTTTCAACATTCGCTCATCTTCATGTGATTGCAGTAACACCTAATATTTTTGTGCACACAAGTGCGGTAACAATTTTATTTTTGTTTCTAGCTATTTGTGTATAAACCTTTAAGGCACTGTTATGTTTATGCTTACATCCCTCTTTGCTGTAATCATCATCTTGAGAATTCTTAGTAATCTCAAGTCAGTACAGTAATTATCAAAAGATGCCATGCTGGGAAGACTATGTAGCATTGTCTACATCACTGGATATGCAAAAGGTGCTAAATATCACTCAAGATGTCAAAACGAGAACATAAGGACACTAGGCAAGCAATAACAAAAGTTACGGACTTACAAAAGTTTCTAACAAAGGACAAATGAGTCTTATGGACAATAGGAAAGAAAGGTACATATTACAGTCATCCCCAAAATTGGGACATCCTACAAGTAGGCGCATGACTGGAAGTGGGAAAGAACAACTATGACAAAAACAAAAGAAATTAAGATACAAGGCCAAGAGTGAGTATTAAATACAGTATAACGAAAAGCCTCTTTCTTGTAGAGCCCTGGTAGTTTTCTGCAGTTACCTCACCAAGTTTGCTTGACCAAAAGGTGATCTTATCAGTTGCAGGAGTTTTGTTATGCCTACCGAGAACCAGAGCCAGAACCTGCCCCCCCCCCCTTTTGTTCTTTAGAATTTTCCATTTTTCCAACTGTTCACTCCTATTCTAGGTAAATGTCAACTATATATGTACAGTATAACCAAGATCTATCCCATAACTGCCTTTATCTCAAGTGTTATCATATACTGTATCTGGATAGCAATATCTTATTCTACATTTCCCCTACATCATTTTCAGTTGCTCTGATAAAAATTTTGGATTGATTCCCATTTCCAGCCATTGTGTTATCCATACAGTATTACTACAGTAACAATATCCTCAATACCTACTCCTGGAAAGCACATCAACATCCCCCTCTTCCTTTCCTTTACACAGAACGTCCTATCCATCTCCCTAACTTGGGAGTCTCCATCAATGCAGATGTATTGAGTCTCTTCAATGTCCAACCTTTGTTGTTCCATGCTACCTCCTCCCTGCACTTATCTGAAAGCACAGCAAAAAGAGCTTAATGTTTTAACTATAGCTTCGGTTGCTGTCTTCACCATGTGCTTTGTCCCTCTTCAATGTATCACCTTCTAGCAATATAGTCTCGTCTCCTTGTGTCTCACCACCAAGTTATAATCTTGAACATTTACAAATCCTCCCTCTGCTGTACACATAGTCGTATACTGTATACATACAGTAACTTCTTCTTAATGCTTACTCACCTCTGCCCTCAAAGAACCACATAACTTAAACAAGTTCTAAGGAAAAAGCATTCTTCTCTTCTTTGACATAGCTAGGAACACTATTGAGACTAAGGAAGTTAACTTGGCTGTATATAGTAAATAAATACTTTAAATACACTTTCCCTGGCCTGGCGGGCCCCCCGCATCGCACCGCAAGATAGGCCGGGCATTGCCGGTGAGCACACAACCCAATGTTACACTCTTTCACTCGCAATGTTTATACGTACAGTATTAATAAGAATAAGCAAAAATTAATGGATGACGGCGTTGACATTATGCCCTAAATTGCGTATATTGTTTAGATGACTGTGATTAACGTCATCACGGTGTCAAAGTGTTAAATATATACATTTACTTACCACCATTCCAAGGCCTGTGGTGTATGTACCAGGGTGTTTCACTACACAGTCTCCTGTTTTGAGCATGCACTTCACTTTACCACAATGTGCACATTGTGGTAAGCGCTGGACAGACTGACAAAAGTAGCAAAATGCGCGGTTCTTTTGACGCCTTTCACATCTATCACATTCCTGAAAAGGCAGATAAAGTACATATACTGAATATTTATGTATAAAGCATGTAAAATTTACACAATAAAAAATGAGCTAACTTCCAAGGATGTTATAGAATAGAGTACTGTACTGTACTCTACACTACACATATGCAAAAGTGCTAAAGCATATTCCAATGTGTGTTCTTAGTGGTTTTCTATTGTCATACTGAATACTGCATTAAAAATTAAAAATATAAATAGGACTGAAAGAACTCTTAAGCAAAGTGTACTCCAGATTTGTTTTTTTATCTATACAAAGCTCCTCTACAAAATTAATTACACACACACTCATGTTGAGCCGATGGCCATATGATGTAGGGAACACCACTTCTTGTTCGATCAGCAAAGTTAAGTAACATTAGGTTTGGTTAGTATTGTACTTGGATAGGTGACTGCCTTGGAACACCTAAAGCTGTTGCAAAAATCGTAGCTGAGAAGACCCTCTAAATTATATACCTGTATCATTAATTAACAAGCGTGGTACTGTAGTCAAAACTCTAGAAAAAGTAGTTAAAACAAAGAGTAGAACACCTGGAGAGTAATGACATAATAATGCAACCCGTTCTCGCAAATTCGTAAAGTCAATATTGACTTATTAACTACGTGCATAGGTGATATACTAAACATAATAGATACCCCTAAAAAGATTCATAGAAAACACCGACCTTACCTAACCTTGTTAGTATCTTAAGATAAGCATCTTATTGCTTCGTAATTACAATTATTACTTAACCTATACCTATTATAGGTTAGGTAATAATTGTAATTACGAAGCAATAAGATGCTTATCTTAAGATACTAACAAGGTTAGGTAAGGTCGGTGTTTTCTATGAATCTTTTTAAGGGTATCTATTATGTTAAGTATGTCACCTATGCACATATTTAATAAGTCAATATTGACTTATTAAATTTGCGAGAACGGGTTGAATAATGGACAGACAGAAAGGTTTTCGAACAAGAAGATCCTGTGTAACAAATTACTTAGTTTTTATGACAGAGCCACAGAGATTCTACTGGAAAGAGATGGTTGGGTTGACTGTGTGTATATATAGACCTAAAAAGGCTTTTGACAGAGTGCCACACAAGAGGTTGTTTTTGCAAAGTGGAACATGCTGGAGAAGTGACAGGGAGACTGCTGACATGGATGAAAAATTTTCTGACAGACAAATGAGGGCAGTAATCAGAGGCAATGTATCTGACTGGAGGAGTGTTACTAGCGGAATACCACAGGGTTCAGTTTTTGCACCAGTAATGTTCATCATCTACATAAATGATGAATATTAGAAGGAATACAGAATTATATGAACATGTCTGTTGATGATGTTAAACTACTAGGGAAGATAGAGACATAGATGATTGTTATGCTCTTCAAATTGACCTAGATAAAATAAGTGTTTGGAGCACCATGTGATAAATGGAATTCAATGTAAATGCAATTTTAAGGAATGTGGAATAGGAGAAAACAGAACACACAACCTACAAATTATGGGGAAAGGAATTAAAGAACTCCAACAAAGAGACACCCAAGGGTGGTTCTGGATATTAGAATGTTGCCAGAGGAACACATAATGAACACTGTATGAGGAGCATATGCTTCACTTGCCAACTTCAGAACCCCTTTTAATTACATGGATGGTGAAATACTAAAGAAACTGTTCATGACATCTGTGAGACCAAAATTGGAACATGCAGCAGTTGTATGGTGCCCATATTTCAAGAAGCACATCAATAAACTGGAAAAGGTGCAAAAGCATGCTAAAAAGTGGCTTCCAAAAGTGAAAAACAAGTTATGAAGAGAGGCTAGAGGCCTTATATATGCCAAAGCTAGAAAATAGTATAAAAAGAGGTAATAGGATCACCACTTACAAAATAATAATGGGAATTGACCAAACTGACACGGAGGAATTCCTGAAACCAGCAACTTCAAGAACAAGTGGGCACAGATTCAAGCTAAAGGAAACAAAGGTGCCAACAAAAATATTCAAAAGTTTTCTTTTACAATCAGAGTGGTAGACGGTTGGAACAAATGAGAAAATTGTGAAGCCAAAACTGTCAGTAATTTTAAAGCGTTGTATGACAATGAGTATTGGGAAGATGAGACAACACAAGCAGTGTAGCTCTCATCCAGTAACTAAACACACAATATCAATATACATATGTACAGTATATGTATATATATGTATGTATGTATGTATGTATGTACAGTATGTATGTATGTATGTGTTATGCCGACACCACCCAACCTATGACCACATCCTCTGCAGAGTTGGATGAGGCTAGCCCCATATGGCCTCCAACTTTGGGCACAGAAAGACAAACATTATCTCTTAGTGTAGATTAATATATTTTAAAATGACTGTTCAAGCTATTAAATTGATCTGCCTATACTCCATTTAATATACAGTACTCAAAATTGTAATACAGTATACACTCTTTAAATTGGGTTTGAGTCATCAGAACCTGATAAAAAAAATCAATTATTTTATGGATTTTTTATCTAGTTCCAAAACAATGAGAAGATATTGCAATAAATAAAAATACAAACAATTATTTTATGATTTACCATCATTGAGTTACAAGGAAGATCAGCCAGAGAACGATTGGCGCGACCCTTTCTCAACTCTTTCTGTCGGGCCTTTTGCTTTTCAGCCTTCTTTCTTTGGCCTGTCTTTTTCTTCGGCATCTTGTAGTTTCTGTAATAAACTAACACATAAATCTGTATAAAAAATGTGTAGCCTAGTTGACATATGTATGACATATCTATATGACAAACATACAAGCCAACAAAGAAAATGTATAATTAAGATTTTTTTGGTTTAGTTAGCATTTGGAATCACAAAATTTGAAGTGATTTTGCATTTATGTTTACTCTGTAACATACCATGAATGAACAATCCAAAATGTTTCACTCACTTGCTTGTGAGTGGAAACTCTCTATGGAAAACAAAATCCCAATTTCAAATTTTGTTGCAGTCTCTGGGATTTGGAATGTGTAGGACCTGATCCTTTCTTAAAGGTGAGCATTGTAGCTGACCCTGACTGACCAGTGACACATACCCCCGTTTTTCCATGTTAGAAAGCTGAACAATGAAAGCCTCAAGCATCTGGCCTACAACATCAGACAGACAGACACATTGTATAGATATACTGTACTTGAGAGGATACCTGACCTCACCCCAGGTCTTTCTTCCTTCTTTGCCCCTCACTTCCCATGAGAGCCAACCCCAATTTGCCTATGAAACTCCCATACTCCACATTCTTCATGTGTGAAAGTTGGGTGAGGCTAGTCCCAAAGTCATCTGGCCTCCATCCTTGGACAGACAAACATACTTTTTATTTTTAAAGATACATACTAGATAGGGTATCCGGCAGTGCGCAAGTTTCTCCAATCCACCTCACCCATTCTTCTCTCTCTTTCCCTTTCTCCTGGTTCCACCTTCCCCTCTACCACCAACCCTCTCACTCTCCTTTCCCTGTCTTTCTTATCTTTCTTCTCCTCTTTCTTCCCACATGACACTGCATTACCTTATATTAAGGAGCATTCAAAAGAAGCTACAAAAAAGGGCTTTTCTACTTATAGCCATGTTATCATACAAAATAAAAAAAGCATTCTGTTAACATAGCTACACAAATTTTTCATTAGACTATAGGCTATTGCTGATGGTTATACTGTATAGCTTGCCATACAAATATTCATAATTTTAAAATAGCATGACCCTTATCATAGCTCCTATGTAATATCTTCATCCAAGAAATACACCTGAGGCAAACATAAATTGTTTACAATTTTGCCCTGGAGGGTACATTTATTGGGCATCATTGATACAATACGGACAATATATCTAAATATAAAAGCATATACCACTAAAGAGGACTCAAGCAAATTTATTTGGTGTGTTTCAACTATCTGAGCTCCAAACAGGGGCTGTCAGTTGTCTGCCGAGTCGTCACACTAATACAAGCCTGGGGTACCTCCAAGCCTCTGTGGAATGACCTGCACACTCCAAGCTATGTTAATGCACTTGAAAAGCTTTCATGCTGGCGTTTGACATTAGTGAAATATTTCAAAATGCTTCAGGCGCTTTTGGGTTCGGTTACATTATGAGATAAGAATAGAGTTGTTACTTGCTGCTGAAAATACTCACTTTACGTCAAAGACTGAACCGCTGCGAACTCGTGCTGCCGCCTCCCATCCGCCACATATTACTGACTTGTGTGTTCCTTTTAGTGCAGAATTACAACGGCTTTATAATTGTTATCATTCCCCATGATTAATATTATGGACAAATGAAATATATTTCACAACACAATTAATGGTATTTGTAAATCTTAGCTGCTAATATAGAGGAAAACTGACATAATACAGGAATTATTTGAAACAACCGAATAGTCGTATGAAATCAAATTGGTTGTATTAGCGAATGCTGCCAATTTGACAAATTTTTAAAATAATATTCAACTTTACTATGATTGTTTTTGTACACCAATTTACACACTTTATTTCATATAACGAAAACTGAAAGTGACCAAACTGTGTCATATAAACAAATATGTGTTTACTTCCCGTCTCCACTGCCATCGTTCGTGTAACTCGTAGACGGACGAGTTGGTCCTTGAAGAACGCTTCATGGATCTAAAATAAATTAAGCGAGTTATGTGTTCTACAATTGAATTATTATCAATAAGTGATAAACTATTCTTCTGTTTTTAAGGCTGACTTGATAAGCATTAATTGATGGCCCTCTCACTTGTGTAATAATATTAGCTATCTTGATGTTTCCATCTTGTTCAGTCTTGCCCTGTAACTGGCTGGTGCTGTGAGCTCATTTATTTATTTATTTATTTATTTATTTATTTATTTATTTATTTATTTATTTATTTATTTATTTATTATTTATTTATTTATATATATACAAGAGTTCTTTCAGTCTTGTAATGTAAGAAGCATTCTCATGGTTATTGCCTTCATCAGTGAGAGCCAGTTACTTACATTCTAATATAAAATTAATGATTTGCAAACATACCGAGCTCTTGAAATGCAATCTGGAAGGAAGACTAAGAATGAGTTTTGGTGTTCGACAGAGGATAAGTTTCTAGAGGAATATATCATATATCACAGGATATATGTGTCATATATCACAGGTTATATGACATACAAAGGCACTCGTGTCTCCATTCCATTTGCAACGGCACACTTGTGTGATTCTGGATTATGAACAAATCCACAAGGGCCGTGACGAGGATTCGAACCTGCGTCCGGGAGCATCCCAGACACTGCCTTAATCAGCTGAGCTACGACATAATTCTGGATTATGTTCTCTTCTGCCAATCAAGACAAAATCTAGGGATCGCCTGAATCCACAGACCTCAACAAGAAAGTTCTGTTTTTTACAAAATTTGTTGATGAGAAACTGGAACAAAGAAGCCATTGAATTTGTATGTTCGCAATTGGTATTGATTTTACTGTTTACATTTTTTCTAATTGCTAAATTTGTTCCACATACAGTACCCACAGTACTGTGTGTGGTTAAATTGGTGGTTCAAAAATTAGAAATTTGACTTCTTCATCTTCAAATGTGATTTAACTTTTGTAAGGTGTGAGCATCCATCTTGAGGGGGGGGGATATAGCCTAAGCTACTCTATCCCTTTGAGATGTATTTTCTTGTCTCAATAAACATACTTGAACTTGAACATCCATCAAACACTGTAGGGGAGCGGGCCTAGAAGAGGTTAGGAACCACTGACGCAACACAGTGGCTAGAAGACCATCATTATATTTTACGGCGCCAATCACCTCGCTCATAGCGGGAGATCAATTTAATTATGCAAAGTAAATGTCCCTTAGGAAATTTGCATCATATCAAAATTAATGCAATTATTTGTTTGTGTATGTGGACCGTATTTGTTTGTGTAACTGATAAATATGTCTGTGAAGTCAACGAACGGTTGAGCAATTGTAAATATCATTATATTATCAAGTGTATCCTTGTGTGTGGTGAGTATGCATGAGGCTCTCGGGAGCCCCTGCCTCACCCAGCAAGTTCCACTTCAAGTTCGTGTACAAGCATTTTAATTTGGGAACACGTACGAGAGATCAGTTAATTCAGGCTGCAGAAGAACTTGTGGGTTAATTAAATTAACTGTAGTAGAGGGCAAATTTAGCATTTTTTTGTTTATTATGGAATTTAACCTTCGGTTAGGTACTGGAACCGGTTTGGTTACTTATGTTTTTCCAGAACACGATTTGATAATTGATTTACATCCATATCACCCTGTTGTTAATGTTTACACAAGGGATAAATAGTGATGAAATGGTCCCCAGGGTTTGAACCAGAGTTTCCATTGCAATGCGAGCGGGTGAGGGCGCGCCTCTCAACACCACAGGGTGATGACCCTGTTATTTCTGACGTAAATACATTGACCTCAAAATATTTTATACGATGGATACAGCGTAGCCGAGGGGTCGAGGGGTCGAGAGAGAGAGAGAGAGAGAGAGAGAGAGAGAGAGAGAGAGAGTGTGTGTGTGTATTCACCTAGTTATATTCACTTAGTTGTGCTTGCGGGGGTTGAGCTCTGCTCTTTCGGCCCGCCTCTCAACTGTCAATCAATCAACTGTTACTACTAGTTTTTTGTGTGTATACTTACTATTTGTATTTACTATTTGTGTCTGCAGAATCGAGCCATTAGCTCTTGGACCCCGCCTTTCTAACCAATCTATTTTTCTCTATTATATCTACTGCATATATTTCCCTAGCACTCACTCAAATAGGTGAGTACACATTCGCAGGAAGCAGCCCGTAGCAGCTGTCTAACTCCAAGGTACATATTTACTGCTAGGTAACAGGAGCATCAGGGTGAAAGAAACTCTGCCCGTTGTTTCTCGCCGGCGCCGGGAATCGAACCCGGACCGCAGGATTACGCGTCCAGCATTCTGTCCACTCAGCCATCGGCTCCCCCACACACACACGCTGGGGCTGCACAGTGTGTATGTGTACTCACCTGGTCACCTGTATATGTGTGTGTGTGTGTGTGTGCATGCGTGGGTGCGTGCATGCGTGCGTGCGGTGGGGCGTGCTGGTGGGATGGTCAGTCAGTACTGGGGTGAGAGGGAGTGTAGAGAGTCGCGTCCAGTGGCCGGTGGCACTCTCACTCTCCCTAGAAAATGTGCGCTGGAAGCGGCGTCACCGTCGCCGACCAGCCACCAGCGACCATCGCGTCTCTCTGAACCAAACAGGTGAACATTGTCACCCCATCACCCAGAAGCAATGGATAGCAGAAGTGATTGAGGTAATTTAGTTTTATATAGAAAAGAATGTAAGCAGCTTAATGTGAATGTAGTGCATTCTCCACGAAGTATGGTTTACACTTTACACAAGAGTCTACAGGCTACAGAATCTGAAAGTGTGTGTTTGTTTACCTAAATTTACCTAAGGGGCGTGTACCTTCTGAGGATTTCTTACATGATAGTAGAGAACCTTGTTTGGTGGTCATAGGCTGTAAGTGGGGGTGCCGTGGGTCTTAGATGGGCTTACTGGGACCCTCACGGAGTTTGGGGACCCCTCATGGACTACATGGGGGTAGGTATAACTACATGGGTGTAGGTGTAACTATATGGGTGTAGGTGTAACTACATGGGTGAATGTATAAACTACGTGGACATACTACAGGGGTGTTTGTGTAAGCTCTCATTGTCATTCATTCTCATTCTAATTCCTCCCCATTAACATTCATCATTCTTATTCTTATCAACATTCTTCCTCATTATAATTCCTACTCATTCTCATTCCACCTCATTAACATTCCCTATATCTAATTTCTCCTCAGTAATATTCCTTTTCATTCTCATTCATCCTCATTTCTCACCTTTCTCATTCCTCCTCATTAACAGTGCTCCTCATTCTCTCCACTTACGTTGCTAACATTCAGGTGTTCTCTGGCAACTATAGTGATCAGAAGAGCGTCATCATCCGGGTAAACGCTTAGTCCAGTAGCGTCCTCAGCTCACAACCAAGGGGTCCCGGGTTCGATCCCCGTACGCCCCGTGGCGCGGTGGTAAGACACTCGCCCGACGCTTCGCAAGCGCTTTGGCCTGGGTTCGTATCCTGACCGGGGAGGGGTTACCGGGCGCCAATCAGTTCAGATCAGTGACGAAGCCATAGATCTGAACTACTCAACAACAATGTAAATGCACACCAGTCAAACGATCCAATAAGAATTATCTACCAAACTGACGTCATGCATTTCGAAAACTATTCAGGCAATAAGGACTGCAAACAGGAGGTGCTATTTCACCCACAGGGTTACAAACCCATGGAACCGCCTACCCGCATAAGCCGTAAAAGCAAAAAATAGGTTGAATTTTAAAATCCAGCGAACAAAAAAAAAATTCAGGATAAGTGGAAAGACCTTTGACAAGCCGCCGGTTTGCTGTCCTCATCGAGAACACTAGGTGTTGGTGGTCCTCAGGTAAATAAGAATTAACTACCAAATTGACGTCGCACGCTTGGCAAACTAGTTAGCCCCAGTAGAAACAATATAGGTCAACGATGCCAGTATTGTACACAGGGAAACTCCATATATTGCCACGAACATTAGCACTGTGATGTAACTACCATATGGCTAAGTGATGTAACTACCATATGGGTAAGTGACGTAACTACCAACCGTATGGCTAAGTGACGGAACTACGATATAGCTTAGTGACGCAACTGTGATATGGATTAGTGACACAACCACAATATAGCTTAGTGGAGTAACTATGATTTACAGACGAGGAGTCACAATAACGTGGCTGAAAAATGTTGACCAAACCACATACTAGAAAGTGAAGAGACGATGACGTTTCAGTCCGTCCTGGACCATTCTCAAGTCGATGGACCATTATACAATCGACTTGAGAATGGTCCAGGACGGACCGAAACGTCGTCGTCTCATCACTTTCTAGTGTGTGGTTTGGTTAACTATGATTTAGTTTAGTGAGGCTACTAGAATGAGTACATAACTTAGTGACTAACAATAGGTGAGCTCACTAACCAATAAGAACAATTTAACCGGGTGCTGCTGTACAAGAACTGGTGTCCCTGTATTGTTCACATTATTATACGAGGAATATCATAGCCTAGTGATGTCATGATAAAGTTAAATTCTCGGCATGACTTTCTAAGCATTTGAGTTCATCAGATATAGCGCAGTCTGTCTTATCTCAGAGTATCCTGGTACGTTGCCACAGTATTATTCACTCTTCCAGTGACAAACACATTCATGAATAACTTCTGCAGTAGCTTCATGAGAAAATGAGACGAAATTGTGGCTAGCACATTACTCCCACGTACACAAGTACAGTTCAGCCCTTAGGGAGAAGTAAAGGAGGTGACTAAGTTGACTAAGGCACAGCTGGGAACATCCCGTGCGTAGGTTCGAACCCTAATCACGGCCTTTGTGGATTTGTTCACTGCAGTGGTGTTTCACGCCGTATGTCACTGGTCAGGTTCAGTGTTGATGGTAACGAGCATCAGGTATGATAACCTGTTGTTGTATTTTCACCTTTCCGTCAAGTAGTTTATTTATATATATACAAGAAGGTACATTGGGATTGTGAGGATACATAGCATAGTAATAACATTCTTGTAAAGCCACTAGTACGCGCAGCGTTTCGGGCAGGTCCTTAATCTAAGAAACTTATAAGTAGGTAAATACTTGTAAAATTTATAAAAATTATAACAGTTACATAGCATGAAAAAAAGTAAAAGATGAGAGAAAAATTGTAGGTATATTAAAGCACATAGGTAGTTCGGTGCTGACGTCATGGTTGTCAGTGATACAGTAATCCAATAAGCTGCTACTTTCCCGGTTTAATTTAAGTCATGTCCGGTGTGGTAAATCACGCAATTTGTAAATATGTTTGTCAAATTAACATTGTGTCATGTGCATGACTTCGATGCTCAGTTACAAGCCACCTGTTCCTTATTAAACACAATAATAATAATAATAATAGTTTTTACTTGCAAGAAGACACAATGGGTTTGTGAGATTACATAAGACTTATTTTTACATTCATACAAAGTCACTAACACGCACAGCGTTTCGGGCAGGTCCTTAATCTAACATATCAGGTAAGATGAAAAGGTACATTGTAGCAAGGTTTTATATCAACGAATAACTAGAATGTAACTTGACAGAGGTGATTACACTGGTAAGGATATATGCTTTAAGTACTAATATTGGGGAAGTAGGTAGTACAAGATACAGTGCGAGTTTGAAGCACAACATTATGTAAATTATATTCCAGAAGCTTTAGGACACTTTTCACACATTTCCTAGGATAGTGAATCACTACAGATTCCTAGATAAGATTACCTACAGCTGTCTATGATACAATATCAGGAGTGAGTGTGGTGAGGCAGTGAGCCATGGCGTTGGGGCAATGGCTTGCTCCATTTTAGCACCCACCTCGCCGCACCCTTATCCGGAGGAATCTACGTTATCGACTGTGCTTATCTTCGTTACAGATACACCGCCTTCGAACGGAGATTCCAGGCGGACCTGGCTGCTACTGCCGGTGACCCGAAGGCCGCTTCTTCAATTCCCAAGCTGTTGATAACGAACTAGAACAACCTGCTGGTTTTTACACCCTTATCTTATAACGGGTGGACCGGCCGCCATTTTGAGCGAGGGGCGAGAGAGAAGTGTAGATGGTCATCAGTGGAGGAAGTGTTGTGGTGAAGTAGCTTTGAAGTGAGAACGTTACTTGTGAGTGAGTTCAAGTGATCGCTGACAACCTCTCACCCCTCCTGCTGCTGCTGTTCTTCCTCGTTACCAACAGAGAATCATGCTCAAATATGTCCTGCTGGCCACCCTCGTCGGCAGCGCATGCGCGGTGAGTTTACTATCTACTTCAGTGTAAAGTATGAGGTAGACTAGTTTCTTTATAGTCTATAATTCTCCGTAGTAATGTAGAGCGACAAGCTACAGTGACCGAAAGATAGATATACTATATTGGTTTATGCAACCTATTCCACTATAAGGTAGATTGGGAGACTACCGTGGTTCTCTGTAATATACTCTGATGTAAGGTAAAGAGGTAGACTAGCAGATATGGCAGTAGTTTCCACCTTAAACAGTAGTCTAAGATTAGCAGACAATTCTACCTTCACCTGCTATACACTACAGTTCATTCTGTAAGTTTTGTCTCCACTACTATCCGCTATCATCTACTACTCTCTACTATCATCTACTACTATCCACTACCATCTATAGCAATTAATAAAAGCGGTGTACCATTCCACACCATTAACCTGTATGTGTGTGTATGTTTAACAAGGGTTTGTAGTGTTGTGGAGTAAAGTACAGTACAAATGGTCAAGTCTGGTAATGGTATACTTGAAGGAGATATAATCTCACCATCTACTTCTCTAAGAGTATACCTCGCTCGAGGTGGTTCCGGGGATCACTGTCCCCGGGGCCCGGTCAGCTTGCTCTTATTCACTGCCACACTGGATCACACATACGAAAGGAGGTTTAATATGCTATTACCTTACTGGTCTTTTCATCCTGTCCTCTTCAATAGTACATCGCATTTTGACGCATACATCCCCAAAGGCAAAAAAAAAATGATGTACTAACAATCATAGGCTGCTTGCAAAATTTACGTTTTGTCTCAAATTCAAGTTTAAGTATGTTTATTGAGACAAGAAAACAAAATACATCTCAAAGGGATAGAGTAGCTTAGGCTATTTCTACCCCCAGACGTTTTGTCTCATGTTCTATGCATGAGTTAGATTAGGTTAGGTTTGGGCAATTTAGTACATATTTTAGTAACTTTGTGAACGCGGGAAAGGACGGGTTAGGCTATAACAGAGTGCACGTCCCTGTCAAAGTCAAGAGCTAGTACAACAGCCAGCTCTTGTTGTTGTTTTAGATTCAGCTACTTGGAACAAAATGTTCCAAGTAACACGGACTATGGTGAGCCCGTAGTGGACTGTTTTTTGCACAGCCAGCTCTTGCCAGAAACTCTAACCCTTCGTATAGTTTTGGGCAGCCTCATAAATGCCTCTGCACATGTTTTAAAGGAACTCTGCACATGGCACAGGTTGTGTGGTGGCCGCCAGCACTTGTTCCCGCACTGTGCGCCATCACGTCCCGGAGACGCCACCAGAATATCCTGTCCGCTCTCCTGTGAATACCTCACTAAGATGCGCTAAGCTACTCTCCACTACACTACAATACACGCCACTACGCTACACTACCTGAATATACCTGAGAGCCACCGTCTCTAGTGGCCTCGATGGTGATAGGATCCCAGTGGCTTGACAAAAGTCTTCGCACTAGGCTACCCTGTACTGCAGAAAGCTACACTGCACTACACTAGGCTACCCTGTACTGCAGAAAGCTACACTGCACTACACTAGGCTACACTGTACTGCAGAAAGCTACACTGCACTACACTAGGCTACACTGTACTGCAGAAAGCTACACTGCACTACACTAGGCTACACTGTACTGCAGAAAGCTACACTGCACTACACTAGGCTACCCTGTACTGCAGAAAGCTACACTGCACTACACTAGGCTACCCTGTACTGCAGAAAGCTACACTGCACTACACTAGGCTACACTGTACTGCAGAAGGCTACACTATGGGGCCTCGTAGCCTGGTGGATAGCGCGCAGGACTCGTAATTCTGTGGCGCGGGTTCGATTCCCGCACGAGGCAGAAACAAATGGGCAAAGTTTCTTTCACCCTAAGTGCCCCTGTTACCTAGCAGTAAATAGGTACCTGGGAGTTAGTCAGCTGTCACGGGCTGCTTCCTGGGGTGTGTGTGGTGTGGAAAAAAAAAGTAGTTAGTAAGTTAGTAGTTAGTTAGTAAACAGTTGATTGACAGTTGAGAGGCGGGCCGAAAGAGCAAAGCTCAACCCCCGCAAAAACACAACTAGTAAACTGGCGCTTATTGGAAGATCCACCCACACGATAATGTCCCAGAACCACAATTTATTCCATCCACCCACCCATTCCATCCGCCCATCCAGCGGGCGGTGGTGCACCCCATACCTATACAGTGGGCGTTGGTGGAAAGCGTTTCAGAGACACAATTGACTCAGGAACTGAGCCCATTAGTGGATCCTAACGGATCACAGGTTAAATACCCTTAAGCCTGCCGTGCCCTAAGGCTTGCGCATGCCCTTTAGGCCACGTTCAAACCCCTTCCTTAGTTCAATCTTAGCAGGAAGGGAATTAAACCCTGGACGCTGGTTCAATCCCTTCCTTTTCCAGAGATTTTCCCACAGATATATCATGGTAATGCGAGTTCCTTATGAATGTGTAGCTGAACCACATAGTGGTAACAGTCCCGTGAAGCCTGTTTAATGTACGCTGTGTTACTTGTGTTAGGATGTTACATGTTACAATATGTTGCCCTTAGAATACGGTAGAAAATGTTGTGTTGCGTCTGTCGTAAGATAAGTGGAGTAAAGTGTAAGTTGTTATATTGGAAATGTCGAGAATAATGCTGGGCAAGTTAATCACGAGTAATGACTCACATCTATAAACAATCACCTTATCCAACACAAACAAGTGACAGGATAAACAGAGGGTGTTCTTCCTATTGGGAGGTGTTGTACATGCAGCTATGGCGGCATGTTGACTCACAGGATGAGTGATGAGGCGCAATAAACTCATCCTTCAGAGCAAAACGTAACAATATTCTACTGTTGCTGGCCAGGGTGACTTGACGGTGGACCAGGAGCTCTACATCGTGGCTGGCGTCCTGGGTGCTGTGTGTCTCTTCCTTACAATCGTTTCCATCTACAATACAGTCACCATCATGAGGTATTGTTCTTCACTATCACTACCATTCAACTTCACTCAGGTTAACTACCATCACAGGTTACTTAAACATGGCTGCAATGTTGATATGAGTTATAAGCTTGTAACAGCTGCCCTGATGAACAGTATGATTACTGTATAAGTTTAATAAGTTTACTGTATGGCGACGATGAAGTTCTAATGACATGTTGCATAGTTTGCAGTCCAAGCTGAGGATTCTGAAGGCCAAGGCGCTCCCTGCAATTGGCGGGTTTCCTCTGCAAAATGAAGAGTTCCCCAGAAGGTATGTTAGGCAACTGTGGCGCAGCGGTCAGTTGACAGACCTTAACGACCCTGGCAGTTGACAGACCTTAACGACCCTGGCAGTTGACAGACCTTAATGACCCTGGCAGTTGATAGACCTTAACGACCCTGGCAGTTGATAGACCTTAACGACCCTGGCAGTTGACAGACCTTAACGACCCTGGCAGTTGACAGACCTTAACGACCCTGACAATTGACGGACCTTAATGACCATGACAGTTGATAGACCTGTCAGGGTCTATCAAGCTCCTGGTTCGTCTAAGGGCGACCAACCAGGGGCGCGAGACGGGAACAGTTAACTGGTCACGTGTGGAGAGACAGTTGACAGTTGACGAGTGGAGGAGTGTTAACCACTGAACCAGGAACCATCAAGGATTACCGTCTCCATTTACCAAACCTGTACATCTTTCCTGAAACATGGCGACTTAGTTGCAACTTATTAAACAATTTACGAAATTCGAAGCTTCGTCACCCACGGTTATTTATTAGTATAGTCAACCTCGTGGGACTTCGTAGCTCACAAATCGTTTAATAAATGCAAACTAGGCCGCCGTAATTGAGGAAAGATGTGCAGGTTTCGTAAAGGGAGACTAAAGTGCTTGGTGATTCGCAGCCAGTCGCAGCTACAAACTTATTTACTCAAATACTAACAATATACCTGTGCTTCTATTCTGACTAATTTAGAGGAAAATAATAAATTATAAGCTTGATTAATTAACTCCTAATGGCTCATCAAGGGCAGAATACAAATTAACTATATTAGTTTGTACCTATTATATTTAAATTCATAATCTAATCTGCTTATTAACTTACTAATTAATAAAGTAGTTGAGTCTAGTTAAGCAGTTGTTACATAAAGTTCTTACTTAACAAAGCTGCTATTACGCACGAAGGGCACGCAGTGTCCTCACTTGACAATATAATAACGAACGTGTCCACTGTTTGTGGTGCCGGCGGCCGCAGGGAGCAGCCAGACCACCATGGATCACCCTACGAGATAGACGACGACCCCAGGAGCCGCCCCACCAGGTAGGTACACCCACCCCCACCACACTACCTGGCCCCTACCACACTACCTGCCCTCCACCACCAGGTAGGTACACCTACCTCCATCACACTACCTGGCCCCCACCACCAGGTAGGTACACCCACCTCCACCACACTACCTGGCCCCCACCACCAGGTAGGTACACCCACCTCCATCACACTACCTGGCCTCCACACAAACACACACACAAGCGTAGTTACAGGATGAGAGCTACGCTCGTGGTGTCCCGTCTTCCCAGCACTCTTTGTCATATAACGCTTTGAAACTCCACTCCTTATCTGGCCTCCACCACCAAGTTAGGTGAGAAGGTGGTGGAGGCCAAGACCGTCAGTAGTTTCAAAGCGTTATATGACAAAGAGTGCTGGGAAGACGGGACACCACGAGCGTAGCTCTCATCCTGTAACTGCACTTAGGTAATTACAAGGGTCCAAGAGGAAAGGCGGGGTCCAAGAGCTAATAGCTCGATTCTGCAGACAGAAATAATAAATACACATATACAAACATATGCACGTATACAAACTATATAACTGACAATGTTAATTACATAACACATATTATAACAGTAATTATGTGCAACTAATCGCAACATGATTAATAACAAAATCAATACTGACAATATTAACTACCAATAACAATGAGCTCAATATAATACTAAAGTAAATATGAGTATTGTTTGTGAGTGATAGCCTAGTATGTTAGTGGTAGCCTATAGTATGTTGACCAGACCACAATCGACTTGAGAATGGTCCAGGACGGACCGAAACGTCGTCGTCCCTTCACCTTCTGGTGTGTGGTCTGGTCAACATACTTTAGCCACGTTATTGTGACTCATCGCTTGCATAGCCTAGTTTGTAAGTGGTAGCCTAGTATGTTAGTGGTAGCCTAGTTTGTGAGTGGTAGCCTAGTATGTTAGTGGTAGCCTAGTTTGTGAGTGGTAGACTAGTATGTTACCGGTAGCCTAGTTTGTGAGTGTTTGCCTAATTTGTGAGTTCCTCATTCTGCACCTCCAGGGACCCGTACTCCAGCGCCCCCGCAGTTAGAGACGACCCCAGCAGGCGCCCTCCTCGGGATAACTACAGGATGAATAGGTAACTCATCGACTTCCAGTCTATCACTTAACACTCATAATCTCAGTCTAATCATCACTACCCGCATCAACATTATCCCATCAATCACGTCACTACCACCATCATCAATCAGGTCGTCATCAACACTAACCCGTCAATCAGGTCTCCGTCAGCGCTAATCCGTCAATCATATCACTAACACCATCATCAATCAAGTCGCCTCAACCACCAGATCAACGGCGACGATGAATCATCTTTGAAATCCGCCTCCACCATCTCCCGTTGCCTCAGAAACGGACATTTAGCCCCGTTTCTGGCTAAATGCCTAGCCAAAAACGGTCCTGGCTAAGCATTTAGAGCAATATAATAGGCTAGGTAAATATATCTCTTATACAACAGGTATGACAGCGGTATGTGGCTCACATTATACCAGGTAAAGTATATTTTAATGGCTTGGGTTTCTGTGTGCAAAACTGTGTCAAGTTTATGCTGAGAGAGGTGACGTTGGGCGTTCTGGTAGCAACACTCTGGTGTCTGAGGCTCACTATAATTGACTTAAAATGTGTTATAACTTATATTTCAGTGTAAATGGTATTTCTCGATGTTTAACTGTTCTCTTTGTACGGTTGTGCAGTCGGGTTCGTTCTCGACTCTCAATCGGGAATTCCAGGTTCGAATCCCGGGCGGGACATAGTATTAAGCACGTTACCTATCACCTAATTCCCTTGTACACCCAGCAGGAAATAGGTGCCCAGGAGTTAGTCAACTTAATGTGGGGTTGCATCCTCCGGTTCGACCCTTGGGGGAGAGGGACCTTGATATAATGCTAACATGTATATATACAATGGCTGCCTGTCCCCCGACACAATGAATTGTTGTTATTAAATGGTCTGCTTACTTGTCTTTTTAGTTTGTACTAAACGAAGTTAATTATTATACAATAAACGAAGCTAATTATTATAAAATAAACGAAGCTGTGCCCTTGGCAAACACAAAGTGAAGCACAGCACAGCTTTAAATGCAAAATTAGGTGAGCACACACCGAAGCTCGACCCATTAAGTATATTTAGGTAATTGGTACATGTAGGTAGTAAGTATACTCACAATAAAACACCCATATCAGGCTCATCAACTCACAAGTCAGCCAAAGGAGAGATAAGATAGATTATCGTATGTGGGCGCACCACTCCATAGTTATTATCTGTTAGAGGTGATCCCCGGTACCAACCCCCAACTGTTGAGACGCTACACACCCACCAGTCTCATTATATAGCACCAACAACTCTACGGTAGTAGTAACAACTCAATTGCAGAAACAGCAGTTCAGCAGTAAGCAGTAGCAACAACAGCTTATCAGTAGCAGGTTGCAGCATCAGCTCAACGGTAGAAACAACAACTCAAGATTAGCAGCATCAGCTAAACAGTAGCAGCATCAGCTAAACAGTAGCAGCATCAGCTAAACAGTAGCAGCATCAGCTAAACAGTAGCAGCATCAGCTAAACAGTAGCAGCATCAGCTAAACAGTAGCAGCATCAGCTAAACAGTAGCAGCATCAGCTAAACAGTAGCATCAACAGTAGCAATTAATTATATATAAAGCCCCCCCCCCCCCCGGCACCGTTGAACCTGCAGGGAAGAAGACAAAGAATCAGTCAGAGGAGGAATGTAACACGAGGGGTTCCCTAAGGATCGATCCTGCGGCCACTACTCTCCCTAATCTAGTGTTAATGATCTACACGAGAGTGAGATCGTATATGTAAATGTTTGCAGACGATACAAAGATAATGAGGAGATGTAGAAACAGATGGCTGCAGAAGCATCCTGACTTTTTGCAGGATGCAGGCCACAACAGTTATCTAATTCCACGGTACTGCTAGGTGAATAAGAGGCATCAGGAATAATGAATTATCCAAACCCCTTAGTTGCTATATAGTCGTAATGGCTTGGAGCTTTCTCCTGATAGTTCCCTCCCTCTCTCCCAAACGTCTTAAGTGTCCATCATACACGGGAATCGAACCCGGGACCTTTGACTGTGAACAAACTGAGGCGATGTTTGTTTAAATTAGTTCATTTATTATTCGCCCCATACCCATCCTTGGGGAGATAGTGCGAAAAGGATACAGAGACACAAGAGCAAATATTGATGTCCCCTATTTACTGCTAGGTGAACAGCGGCATTAGGTGAAAGGAAACGTGTCCAACCATTTCTGTCTTGCCTAGGATTCCTGATTATGACCCGAGAACGAACTTTTTTTTAACACTCCATCATATAGTGACACGGGGAGTGCGAATACATCTGTTGAAACAGTTTATATTTATTTGGTTAGGTCTACATCAACAGGTAATGTACCTTGCGCTAACGTAATAACTCGTATAACCCAGCCCACACATGAAGTGAAAATAATTACTTTTCGGTCCGACACTATCAAGTTCACATTGACAAGGAAGAATCAATGTGAACCCTTCATGCAAACTTCATCGAGATGAAGCGAAGAATGAATGTGAGGTGAAATAGGGTGAGAGGTAAGTGTCTTTGTTATTTGAGTGATTTAGGATCATGATGGCAGCGATGCAGAATATGCTTAGGTGTTACCTTGGAGGATAAAATTCAAAGCATCGCGGCGGATCCAGTTGATGTTTGGGGAGCCCCAAGACTTCCTCAAGGAAGCAGGCGCCGGTCCCAACCCCCAACAGAAAACACTAGTTAATCAAAGTCGCGACGGCGAAATGGAAAAAAAACGTCGTCCAATGACCGGCAGAGCAAGAGCCATGAAGACATCTATCAACTTCCCAGTGACCTCAGGCGGTAAGTAACGTTGGGTTTTAACTGCCCGAAACGCTTTGCGTAATAGTGGCTTTAGGCATTGTATGTACTAGCTCTTATCTATAAAGCCAACAAACTTTGTAAAATCTCTTTGTGTATGTACCTTTGCCTAAATAAAAATTATTATTATTATTATTATTATTATTATTATAAGTGTGTCAGTCGTCCTATCAATCCGGGCCGCTGAAGACGAATGGCAGTTCGTGACCCATGCATTGGGTAAAATCCAGGCAGAGCCCAGTCTTCACTTTCCTGTGTTTGGGGTGCGGTTATTTGTTTCAGCTACGTTACTGTGACTTTTTCTACACGATAATTCTTGCTAATCTAAATATATATATATGTTTGAAGGTAATTAGTAATATACTTGAATTTCCAGATGCTGCTTTTATTTGGTATTTAGGGGACCGCTTCACTTTTGTTGTGCTTGAAAGGGGATGTAAATTTATGACATACTGTATTACATTAATATAAATGTGGTTTCGGGAGTTTTAGTGTTACAGGCTTATCTTCCTGGCAAATTATTTACGGGTTATATAATTAAAAAATGCTTCACCAAACTTGCTTTATTATCAAATTGGCAACTTTCCGGTTTACTGCCAAAATGATGTTCAGATTAGGCATAGCACATCTATTATAGATATGTTTTTTAGATTAGCGAAACACACTTGTTTTATATTTCTTAGATTACTTGTAACACATCCGTCGCCAATCACACTATTTGTCACTATAGCACATGGAACTTTGCCATATGGAAAACTAAGGGAGCAAAAGCAACACTATACAAAATTAATCCGTAGCCAATTACCAATCAGTCCCTCTTGATGTCCATAATACACTCTAAACTAAAATGAGAGTTAAGTGTTGAAATTTCAACGTCACAAAACTTCACATGTAATCACCACACAACGCTAAACCTTGGTGCAACATGACAGTGGGATTGCTTTACACAGGATCACCAATGATTACTACCTGGGCAGCCGCTTCTCTGGCGGGTGAGTAGTAGTGAGGCTTGACGCTCTGGGGGTCAGTTTTGTGAGTAACTTCCACACTGTAGTGTCTTAAGAGTAACTTTCTGTGTAGTTAGTGTTTAGTGTATAACTTTCAGTAGTGGGTGTTTTGTGAGTACTTCCATACTGTGGTCAGTGTTTTGTGAGTAACATCATCAATATGATCAGTGTTTTCTGAGCAACTTCCAGTGTGTGGCAAGTAATTTTGAGTTACCCATACAAAATCTGCTTAACCATCCTCCCAATAAGCTTTCTTATTGTATATATGTATTACTAAAACTAGTTTAGTGTGTGCAACTAGTTTAATATGTAGTTAGTTTAGTGTCTGTAAAACTAGCTTAGTGTCTGTGTAAAACTAATTTAGTGTCTGTTACATTTGTAGCTAGAGTACTATAGTTTTAACTGAAAAGAGACAATTAATCAATCATGTTGAGCCCAATATAATTATAAGTAAGTGTTTAGCTGTATGTTAATTTGTGTTAACTTTATTCTGTCAGCTGTCTCCATTTTCAACAATATGGTCAATATCACATTTATAATTTCGTTATACACATTCTTTCAAATGTATTATCCCAGCCACTTGGGGTGGACGGTAGAGCGACGGTCTCGCTTCCTGCAGGTCGGCGTTCAATCCCCGACCGTTCAAGTGGTTGGGCACCATTCCATCCCAAATCCTTATCCTGACCCCTTCCATGTGCTATATAGTCGTGATGGCTTGGCGCTTTCCCCCTGATGTACCGTCAAATGTATATGATTTTGAAGGAATACACTTATGGTGATATGTTTGTTGAATTGTTAATTTAACAAAGCTTATCGCAAGACCTTTCTATTTTAGTCATGAATGTATGTTGTTTAATGATTATTTACTGTAATCTATATGCTGGAGTCTATTCTTATACTGAATTATGACCTCTTAAATGGTAGTTTTTCTTGTTAATTGTTGATATATTTTAAATATGTAAATTGTAGAAAAGAAATATGGCTATAAATTACAATATGTTGGCATGATAATCAGTGTATCCTTGACAGAACAACAGCCAAACCTTTTGTTTAGCTTGTGTAATGGGTTAATGAATACAGAGCAAATTTAGATGTGTATTTGTTAATAGAAGGTTGATGCCAACAGGCCAGCGCCACCACCCCGGCCCCACCGTCAGGAGTCCAGGAGCTCAGCGTACTACTGATGCACCGGCTCCCTCACTCAGCCCTCATACTTCAAGGTACTAACGCATCTTAGTCTTCGTTTCACTAACAACCTCAACATACACGGTGTTATCAGAATACAGATAATCTCTCTTGTTAACTCTTAATAGAGTATAGACATACAAGGTAATCATTTTAAGCCAACCTATCGCACTGACAAACAGTCATAATGAGGTCACATTATTGTGATTACATTACACAATGTAACAGTTTTTCTTCCTGGGTAGTCAGTTTTATCATCATGTTTGTTAAGAGGGTTAGAGTATGTATTGTGAAAGGGAAGAGGCAACAGCAACAACAAAGGCAGTTATTGTTGTTGATTCTTCCCTTTCACAGTACACACTTAAATATTTCAATCTTAACAAACGTATATAAAGCTTTGCCCTTTTTCTCTTATTCTTACCCCTTTTCTTATTCTCGCCTTTCCTCTTATTCTTACCTTTCATCTTATTATTAACTTTTTCGCTTATTTGCTCCTCACCGCAACATATTTGTCTGTATGCAAATATATAATATGCAAATTTTCAGAAGTGTGTGTACCCATGAAAAGTTATCATTACTGGTCTTACAACATGCTCTCCAACACCCATAAGAGTGGACAAGCACTCATCCTATGAGGGAGTAAACTAGAGGGGGTACTTGAGGAGCTAATGACTTGGAAAGTAATTATTCACCCAGGGAGAATTACCTCCAAAGATAAATAAATAATTCCACCTTAATTAAGAATTCATGCCGTAATTTATCTTTTTCAGAATGGTAACATATTTCAGCAAGTTTCCAGGTGACCCAGATGTTGCCAGTGTTTTTGTGGTCACCAAGGATTACTGAAACAAAACACCCTCTCCAAGTTCCACACTATTTTTCAGAATATATATTGAATGCTCCTGTAATTGAAATGGATAACTTCAGATGATCAGTCATAATTGTATATATACATTAAACAAATTGGTTAATGTGAGCAATATTAATTTTTGTAGTTGAGTAATATTTTCTAAGTAAAAAAAACTTTTGTAATAAACTACAACATTCTTATAATTAATTACTTCCAGGAGGCACAGTGCCAAAAATAAAACTTGTTTTTCCCTCAATATATATACAATAATGTGTCAGCTTTTATTTTCTATGGTGTATTTTAATACCAAATACATTAAATAATTTATTTATAGATTTAATGAAAAATAATTCTTATGAAATAGTGTAAAGCTCCTTACTTGATCAGCGAGGTTAAAGCCATCATTGGATGGGTTACGGTGTAAAGTGCATCGCCATTAACTAGGGAGACCTTGATAAGCTTATATTATAAGAGGCTTTCTGTCCCTGATACCCTTAATTTTTTATGCTGCTCAAAACTTTGGGAACAAAATGGTAATAATCAAATATATGTATACATTATACTGGTGATAAACATTAGTAAAAACACAAAGTTGATTTTCAAGTTCTCTTGTCGTAGTTGATAATGTATTTGCTACAATATTAAAGCCCTATAATTCAAGTCATTTTGATTTATGTATATATTTATTAATGAATGGTAATTGGCACTGAATTTAAAATATTGAATGTAAATAACATTTTAATAAAATCTGTATTTAAGAACGATTAAATTAGCACTTGAAAAGCAATACTGTACACTGTATTGTACTTTGTGGTGACAATGTTCGCTGCCTTTAAACAGTACATATTTTTAATTTAGGTTCTTTCAAATCAAAGCTGTTTATATTACACAAATTACATAAATGGCCTTGAAGCTAAACAAGGCCTCAGATCTAAATCCCAGAGGCCTTGTCCCAGTGAACTTTCTTGTAGCACCCAGTTGATAACCTCTCAGCAGCCTTCCCCATTCTCCTTATGCATGTTGCGTCCCCGTCCTGTACGTGACACTCTCTAAGCATCCCTATCTTGTATGTAAACCCACTGGCCTCCACAATTTACTTTGGTGCCAATTTACATTTAAATAAAACATTATCTTGCACATTGTTGGCGAGAAGTTTTATAAGAAGTGTTGAAATAAATATATTCGTAAGTGGTTGTATCATACTCCTAAAATTAGTTATTTAATTTGAAAAGCATCTGGGAAATAATTCTTTCATTAGAATTGAGACCTGTGGCTAAATTGCCACACTTAAAAAATTGTGGCAAGTTAAAAAAAAAAAAAAATTGCGAGTGCCCTCAATTAAAAACCATTTATCAAGACAAGCCCTCTGTATATCTAATGAACCTATTTTAGGTCAAACAATTGTAGTGGTTCCCAAATGGTGCAACACATCGCACTGGTAAGGCTGGAGAGTATGGCAAGTGTGGCGAGACGATTCAAGGACATTTAGAAACATTTAAACATTCAGCAACACAGATTTACTTATTATTACCACCAGAAAAAGAGAAAGGCTTCTTTGTGTCTTGTTTATCAAATCAGACCCAATATAAACCTGAGAGAAACTGACAAAGACAAGCACACATCTCTCACCGAGTGTGGGGCTCATACACATGTATATTTTAGGAATGAATAATATTTATGTAGTTACATTGTTTTATATTTTCTGGATGTCCCATGATTATACAGTAGATGGGTTCCGTCATGAATCTAGCACAAATTTTTTTTAATGTATTTCTTATCAATAAAAAATTCAGCATAAGGCAAGCAGATTTTTATTTCAAAATTGCGGCCCAGAGACAACAATTTTGAGGATCGCTGAGTTAGAGGAAGAACATGCAAATTTCCTGTTAACATGTTGGGAACAAATTAAAGGGGAAGAAGAGGGTTGGGGGGGGAAGGTTGGATGCAAACAATCCAGGGCACCAATAGGTTTCTTTCCTAGTCTATACTTTTAAGGACAGCTTCATACGAGACCATTTAAGTCTCGTACTTTATTTAAGACCACTACTGTATACAGTCATTGTAAGATGTTGCCATCGAAGGTTGACTGGTAATTGGATGATAATGCCCGAAGAACTAGAGAAACTTTGTGAACAAAAATGAGTCGAATCAAGATCTTGAAATGACAACCGTAACACACACAGCTATAATAGCCTCAATACAGTACAGTATCTGTACCTGCTTGATGGGACTCTGGGAGTTCTTCTACTCCCGAGGCCAGGCTTGACTTGTGGTGTGACTTGTGAATGTACAGCCTCATACATTTATGTATGTACTTTAGAAATGTTTGATAAAGAATGTAAGTACTGCAAGTAATTATCAAAAGAAGGCACCAAACCGGGAAGGCTATGTAGCACCATCAAATGTGCGAAATAATCAGAAGAGAGAATAGCATAAAGTTCTGCTGTGAAGATGATAGTCTCCGAAGGGAGGCAACACATATAAGTGCGGTCAGGAAAAAAAAACAGTAGCCTACACCGTTCGCAGACTTAGGCCAATCATTGAAGATGGAAACGGAGCTGGAGAGTGAAGAAAAGTGCTCAAGGAAAAGGTGTTTCAGAACCGTACGAGGGGTAAAAGCTTTAGTGATGCGGGTCAAGGCTGTACAAAACTTTGGAAGGGGGACTCTCCACGGGGCAAGGAAGGAACAATACGAGGAGAAACATTAGAAATATGAACTGAAAGAGAATCCCGTAAGCGAGATAGCTGGAAAGAAAGAGGGAGGTGGTGAAAAACAGGAACTACAGGAGGGGTAAATGTCAAAGCACGACAGAAGCGAGAGGAAGCTACTGTCGATAAGATCACCAGTAGCGAGCCAGTAGCGATCACGGCGTTCACAGAGAGATAGGAAGCCAGTGTCAACATACAAACTGAGGGCGGGAGTTGAATGAAAGGCACCAGAGCCGAGGCACAACCCAGTATGGTGCAAAGCATCAAGACGGCGAAGAGGAGGAGAAGCAGACGAGTAAACAGGGCAACCATAATCGAGTTTAAACAAGATGAGAGGAATGTAAAGAGAGGAGCGTGCACCTATCCCCCCCCCCCCCCCCCAAGATGTATGGGACAAAACCTTAACGAGGGTAAGGGCCTTAGTGCATTCAACTCTGAAGTAAGAGATATTGAGTGACCAAGACAAACGAGTGTCAAAGATTAACCCCAAAAGCTTAATTGAATCCCTATACACAAGGGGATGGCCATAAAGCGACAAAGAGGGACGAAGAATGACATGCTTCCAAGTAAAAGTCATAGCACAAGTCTTAAACATAGAGACTTGAAGCCATGATCGGTGGCCCAATACGACATGGCATCAATCACAAGTTGAAGTCGCCGTTGAAGAGAGGCGAATCATCACCCCGACAGTAAAGGCTAAGATCGTCAACATAGAGAGCGGAGAAGATGCCAGAAGGCAGGGAGGATGAAAGAAGACCATTGAGGGCAACTAGAAAGAGTAGTGCTCAGAACACTACCTTGGGGTACACCCTCATATTGCCTAAAAGGGGCAGAGAGAGTGGTACCAAGCCTCACTTGAAAGGAACAACGAGAAAGGAAACTTTAAAGGAAGAGAGGGAGATTCACACGAAGGCCAAAAGAATAAAGTTGGGACGGAATATGTTACCGCCAGGTGGTGTCCTAAGCCTTTTCCAGGTCAAAAAGGACGGCAAAAACGGAGGTCTTCGCAGCAAAAGCAGTACGAATATAGACCTCCAAGTTCACCAGGACATCTGTTGTGCTGCAGCACTTGCAAAAACCAAATGATAAAGAATGTTACATGTGTTTATTTGTAGGTTGAGGACATGGTATTAATTCAGTAGGTAGGGCGAGGATGTGGGAAGATGTTTGGTGGAAGAACATGAGCAATGGAGGTGCAACTCTTTCATAGACATACTGTATGTGCAATCTCTTTCATTCCAATTCCCTAGTATCCACAAGTACGTAAGATGGATGGCCCCCAATTCAAAAGTGGCATTTCAAATGTCGTCCTCCGAATCAGACGATTTATTTCAAGTGATTACAGACTCTACATGTCAAGTCATTACAGCCTTAGTTGCTAGTTAGCAGAGTTCTTTGAAGTTCCTAACTTTAGTGATATATTGTATTTAGTTCCATAACTGATAATTATTAAGAATCATATTCAATAAAAAATTTATGTAGACCATATTAATAAAAGATCAGCATTTTATTCAGTAAAAGTGTCTTTACATAGGTAGGAATAATTATTCATAGTTATTTTATCTCTTTTATTAACATATGCAAGTGACAGACAGAGACATGAATACAGGTGTAGGTGGTGGTAACATGTGGAGGAAGGATCTACTGGCTGCCCTAATTATTATCCCCAAATAAAGCATTTAAACAGACTGAGGGTTTCCATATTATGCTTAACCACAAACTTATTTTTGCTGTCTTCCAATTTGCTAATTCATTATAATATTAACAAAAAACTATATACATACAGTACTGAACAAAACCTCCCTTCAGTCTAGAATCTTTGACAAGTTACTCATGCACATAACTTTTTACAATACTGTTTTTCTCAAATCCACTAGTTTCTTTAATATAATAAGGGAATATTCATGGTTTAAACTGAATATTGCTTAAAATTTGCTGGAACAAATTTGGAGAAAATATGCATTGTTGAAAGCTTAACAGCTTCTAGGGCCTCAAACACATTGTATTGTCAAATTTTATATTTAAAATATTTCACTAAAACTAATTTCTAGAAACCACATTCACTGATCTGCAAAGAAACAAAACATTTCTGTCAAATCACACTTGGGTTACAAAATAATTATTTTATATAAGAAGTTACCAATGAGTAATACATTCTCCCTACCATTAATACTTATAACTCTAAAACCATTCAGCATTTAAGAAGCCTGAATCACCGATAACTAGTACTGTAATAAAAAAAATACTAAATACTGATCAATAACTACAGTAAATTTGTCGAAAAAATAACTGAAAAATGTAGCAACACTTGTCTAAAAACCATGCCCTTATGAGGCATATATTACTGTACTGTATACGGTATATATGTCCTTTTATGCTATAACGCTATAGGATTGACCCCATCGACCGGCTGCCCCCACGCAGCTCGTGTCCTCCACTTGCTTTAACTTGTGTAAATAATTGTTGAGGAACATCACAATATATCGGTGACAGTGTACTAGCAGGACCACCACCTGCACAACACACACGCGACGTTGCAATGAGTTTTGTTCAACAATTTATTTTTTAGCAGCCTAAAGGTTTTAAATACAGTGGCACCTCGACTTACGATTGCCCTGACTTATGATAATTTCGAGTTACGATATAAATTTGATCGGAAAATGCAACTTGACTTACGATAGTGTCGTCAACTAACGATATTGGTTGATACACGTTCGGGTCGACCGAGGTCCCATTCGCGGTGGCCGACCTGCCTCAGTTCACTAAAGCCACCCGCTTAGTGACGATCACGCTTCTAAGAAATGCTATTTTTTGGCGATTTTTTTATTTTTGAACATAAAATTGATTATTATATATCATGCCATGGGTCCCAAGAAAGTCAGTGGTAAGGTTCAACATATGAAAACACAATGAGGAGAACCATAGAGGCAGTACACAATATCCTTTCCTCAAAAATTAAGAAAATGTGTGCAGCATGGGAAAAACTATAAGCTTTGCTGAAACGATTCACCCAAATCAAGCTGCAATAGGCCGTTACCTTAACCTTTTCAATAACACTGATGCATGACTACAGACAAATGTTAAAACGAAGGGAAAAACTAGTGTCACTAGATAAATTCTTAGCGAGAAACTAGGTGAACTACAACCAGGTCCTAGTGGTATGCAGGCAAAACATAGGAGTGTGTACCCCACAGAAATCATCACTGCCTGATTTTATAATGGAAGGGGACTCCCCTTCCAAACAGTAACACACCACCTCCTCCTCCTCCCCCCTCCTCACCATCTTCCATATGCCAACAAGAGTCATCAGTAAAGGTAAGTAACAGCTTGTACATGTTTATGTAGTGACAATTTGGGTGAATTAGGTATAAAATTTACTTTGAGTTAATTTTTGAGGAGTCAGGAATGGATTAATTCATTTCCCTTTATTTCTTGAAAAATTGTTTCAACTTACGATATTTCGACTTACGATACGTCTCTGGGAAGGGATTACCATTGTAAATCGAGGTCCCACTGTAATATCCTTTCAAAATGTTACTTTAGACTATTCTACTAGCCAAGTTCAATATTTTTTAAATTGTAATTTTTTAAATGTTGTCTCCCCTTGGGGGGGATAGAATGCTGAAACTTGAGCTGGAGGTTCATTTTAAAAGTTAGATTTTGGAACCAAAATTTCATAAGAATTAGATTTTTTTATGTACCCATAAGAATGAATGTGATTTGGACCCTTTAACACTACTTGGGCAGCTCATCCTCATAAAGCTAAATGCTCGTTAACCCACCTGCCAAACCCCCACCAGGTCATTATCAGTACATACCATCATGGTCTAGTGGGTAATGCATCTCTGGGGGTGGCCTGGGATGAGGGGTTCAATTTGCTACATTGCTCCAAAATATTCTCATTTATTTATCATGCTATTGTGACTGCTTTGTGCAATGAAAGGAGCATTCTGTGGAGTACTTTATTACACACCAGTCCATCCTCCTGTCTTTATAGTACTTGTAGTAACATGGAGGACCATGGCACACATACAGAAGTACAACACAATTTGAAAGTAGAAATCGGTACTACTGAATTTGAACAAACTAGAAAAGATTTTATATTTATGTTGCAAAGGGAAACTAAACTAACCTAGCTTTTCTAGGCTTAATACATGCTATCTGAGGCATTATATAGTACATGTGTGTGCTATACTTGGCCTAGGAATATTTAAGTTTGTTTTTTAGCTACCTTTTTGGGACTATACAGTACCGTATAGTGAAAAGTAAAAAAAATCCTACCTAATTACTTCTATGTCAATGTTTGTACTATTGAGCACATAGTTATAAAAAGTAATCTCTAAAACAGGAGGATGAGTTACACATACACACACACATGCACATTTTATATACATAGCTATACACACAGTATACACACATTGATACAAAGTTCTAGTGCCTGCACAAGTCATTGCATTATCTGCACTATGCAGTAAACTGCATGTAGGAGTACATGCTTATTATTTAATTGAGATAAAGACATCTACTAAATGATTATACACAACTAATACTAAAAATAAATACTTACTTACTAGTAACATTTTATTTATGGGGTGTTTGGACTCATAGGATCAAAGCCAACAAAATCATTGGCTGTCTTCACACCAGCAATGAAGAACAGGAAACTCTTCACTAAAGACCTTAAACAAAAATAAAAAAAATTGTCAGAAACTGATCATAGAGTCTGCATTCAATAAGATATTTATGTTGTGAAAGAATAAATATTTTTGATGCAGTAATTACCAACAGCAATGCACCTTTAGTTCTTAGTCAGTATGCAGCAAGACAATCAAGTTACAAGGAAATATCAAATAAATTATAAATGAATAGCTAACTGTTGATGTATTAACTCCTAAATTGCAGTTATGATCAAAGTTACCTCTAGCTACGCTCAAAAAAAAATAATAAAAGAAAATACTGTAACTCCTTATAAAATTAAACCATTTGCATGCAAAAAAAAAAGTAAGGAAAATGGAAAAAACCAGGGTTCAATGTAATGAAATGGCCAATTTCTGAGCGAGCTCTGGTTGCTCTGAAGCAACCCATCTCTCACCGAGATGGTCATCAACTACTACGTCACATCGGGGACCACAACGAAAAACATCCCCCTTAGAGAGACAAGGAGAAGACAACAGTGTCACCTCACCGGGTAAAGTCTCCACAAAGTCAGCAAACTAAAACAAGCAACTGTTGGATTCAAGAGAGACCAAACCCTAACAACCTGCCAAATGAACTTCCCCCAACTACGTAAACAAATTATCAAATCTCTCAAAACTGGTGTCTGGCTGTGGATGTGGTGAAAGGGATGACTCCGGAGATACCAAAACAGTCCCCAGAACCACATCTTGCACAGTGGAAAACCACACAAAGTTTAGGATCATTTGAGCAGCCTCCGAGTGACCCAGGGTCACTAAACACACTAAACACTAACAGATAGCAGTGCTGCAGTCGGAGTAATGCCGCTGGAGGAAGGAAAAGCAAAAGTGACCATGTACCCCAAATGAGGCCCAGTCAAGTCTGAACTTGGGCTGGAGCCATCTGGGATCTCCACCAGTTCACCAGGAACCCAAACTCAGCTAGCCGAGAAAGAATCTGAACTCTAGCTAGCAGACCCACAGACTGGGAGCTCTCACCACTCATCCATTGAGCTAGGCCAGAACACGAACCCCTAACAATTGAAGATGAGCCACCATGACTCAAGCCAACCTGGTAAAAGCAAGGCGAGCCAGATTCAGACCAAAGTGAAGAACCCAAAAGCATAAAGTTTAACACACCACCATAAAACCTAGACAATCGCTGAACATCTGATGCATAGACAAGACAATACACATCCCAGAGCTCAAAGGAGATCATTCAAGCACCTGCTTCCAATACCAGGCAAACTTGGGCAAAAGTGCTCATTGAGAAAGTGGAGCAAGGAATATACTGGTTCAGCCCCAAAGATGAACCAGAGCTCTGTTGAGTCATGTTACAGGACCAAGAAGAGCTGAAACACCCACCTAAGTGATGTGGTTGTTTTGACCAAACCAAAAGCCACCCACTCCAAAATAACCTGACATTAGTGAAAGGAAAAAGACTGCCAAGAGAAACCCAACCAATGCAGTAGGGAGAGACCGCGTCTCCACTGCACGAGACTACCCAAAAGGTCTACAAATCAGGAGACTAAGAGCTGGCAAACTGGGTGGGGCACCCCCTCCCCAACTGCCTCGTCAAAGGGGTGAACCAGATGGGACAGCGTGAACCACAAGAAGCAGGGGGGGCCTTTCTCGAAGGACAAGCATGGCACTGACCAGCCAAGGAAGTACCAGCTGCAGGTGGTGTATACAACCTAAAATCATGCTCCAATGATGGCTTACCTTGACTAACCAAAGGCAATGGGGCCCCAGCCCTGCCCAACCACTTCAAAGGAAACCTCTAAGGGAACAACCTCTTGTTAGTGCAAGGGCAGCACTAAAGAGCTCCCAGGGAAGAAACTCCTGAGTACATGGAGCTCCAAGCACACTGATGTGTAGCTTGAGCCTAGCATTTAATGTGCACAGAAATGCCTAAAAGGCAGAAGTTCAAGTGGCCTTAACCACATTAGCATAAGAACAGAGGGTTCAAGCCCTCTGAGGTCATCGTCACCTTTCCCCTCCAAATGAGTTGGGGAGGTGGGGTGAATGGCACATGGTAGTTTTGAGAAAGTTTCTTACATAGCTGGGGAATTTTATTAGGTGGGTTGTGAGGCTTTGGTCTTTAATCCAGCAGTTGCCAGTTTTAGTTAATTGACTTTCTGGATGAAGTGATGGGCTGTCATCTTCTTCCTATACTTCTTTGAGGGGGGGATGCAGGTCCTGGGCCCTCCCCCAGAGAAATGTATTAGTCTTTTTTGTGCATGCCAGGAGATTGCCAGTTGTGGGGGTCATTTGATCCATGGCAACAACAAAAATTTATTTAAAGCCAAGTGAAGTAGTGAGCTGTGATCATCATCTTAGATGGCTTATGCATTTGCCATTTCATTTTGCAGTGTGTGAAGTAACTCATTTACACAATTAACAAAAAACTAATCAAGTATACAGACGAGATAAAGCACCTAAATTATTGGGATCGTCTCAAAGCTCTCCAAATGTACTCGCTAGAAAGGAGACGAGAGAGATACCAAATAATATATACATGGAAAATACTGGAGGGCCAGGTCCCAAATCTGCACAGTAAAATAACGTACTGGAGTGAACGACATGGAAAAAAATGCAGAATAGAACCAGTGAAGAGCAGAGATGCCATGAGCACAATCAGAGAACACTGTATGAACATCAGAGGTCCACGGTTGTTCAACGTCCTACCAGCGAGCATCAGAAATATTACAGGAACAACCGTGGACATCTTCAAGAGGAAACTAGATTGTTTCCTTCAAGGAGTGCAGGACCAACCGGGCTGTGGTGGGTATGTGGGCCTGCGGGCCGCTCCAAGCAACAGCCTGGTGGACCAAACTCTCACAAGTCAAGTCTGGCCCCGGGCCGGGCTTGGGGAGTAGAACTCCCAGAACCCCATCAACCAGGTATACACTATATATAGTCCTACAATGTACTATGAACTACTATATTGTATTCAAGTCTTTCTGGCACAGCTCAAAGATAGTCATGCAACCCACTCCATTGCCGCTATTATATTTGGCAACGTCATCGAGAAATTTATTCAAACACCGGCAGGAAACACAAAGTTGTGATTTGACGATAATCACCTTGTGGTAGTACAAGCTAACCCTCGACTTACTTTAAGCACTTATGTCCTCCAGCATATAAATATTAACCTTTAACCACGTCGTGTGGTTCCTCGGGTCTGGTACTCCCGGTACACACAAGGACTCTACAGCACTACTCTTTTTAAACAAACCTAAAGAAAAAAATATAAAATTCTGGGTTTAATATATAGATGAGACGATAATGCAGGTTTTGCATCCTTCTGCCAAATCACTTGTGTATTGAAATGTAAACAAAAAATGTGAAAAACAGTAGTTACTGCCAACACTACATAACAGCCATAAGACAGAGTGGATGAAGCAATATTTGACTAAATCTGGCCATTAACTGGATGGGTGACCACGTGGATAGCCTGGGCCTAGCTAGGGGGCCTATGGCAGGCTTCCTGTCCCGATCCCTGAATACGACGATATTAACACCTTCCTTACCATTTAAAAGGGTCGTAATATATGTTTAAAATGGCCCCCTTGATCCCTCCCTTCTTCTGGCGGCGCGGCTCAGGGGCTGCTGGCATTAACTTGAACATGGCGTGAGCTGGTGGTGTGGCTCCTGGAGTGTGGCCTCTGTGGTGGTGTGGCTCCTGGAGTGTGGCTCCTGAAGTGTGGTCTCTGAGGTGGTGTGGCTCCTGAAGTGTGGCCTCTGAGGTGGTGTGGCTCCTGAAGTGTGGCCTCTGAGGTGGTGTGGCTCCTGGAGTGTGGTAGAGGTGGTGTGGTTCCTGGAGTGTGGCCTCTGGGGTGGTGTGGCTCCTGGAGTGTGGCCTCTGAGGTGGTGTAGCTGCTGGAGTGTGGCCCCCGAGGTAGTGTGGCTCCTGGAGTGGTCGAGGCGCTGTGGCTCGTGGTCGCTGGGAGGCCAGATCTGGGTTGCTAGAAGTCGCGAGCTGAAGAAATAAAAATCACGAAATTAATTATTAAAACTAGACAAAATATTTTTATTAACGATTGACTCCCTTTTCAGAGTACACGAGTCAGCTTTTAATAGTAGCCAAAGAGAGTAGTAAGTAGCAAAACATACATAGCATAGCTTTTCATTTGGGCTACCAGCAGCCGAGGTCGACTAATCGTACACAACCGTTTCGGATACAGTCTGGTCGGTACACAAATAACCAGTTCGTTCACAAACACTTACATACAAGAACCCTTTCGTATACACATTAAGGACTGGCTTGTGTCCCTTGCTGTTCTGGTCCAAGGTAATAATATAACCAAAATGAGACGATAGAATATGCTAATAAAGTAATGCGAGTAATCAGATGGTACAAGATAATTATATATATTAATAATCGTATATAACCATTTCGGAGGGCGTTGATTCAGTACACAAAAGTCTAGTTCGTTCACATACAGGTTTGTATTCAAGAACAATTTTGTATACACGAGGTGTAGACAAAAACGCATATATGTGTTGCAGACAAAAACGCGAATATAAAACACATATGCGCTGGCGTGTGTTCGCTTCGGTTCTCGTCTTCCAAGATAATAAGATGCCCAATAGAAATTGAGAATAAGTTAAAATTGTGAATAATAAGATGGCACATGAGTGTATTATATAATAATAAAACAAAAGTATTTTTCAGATATGCGACGCGATTTATCCTTATAGAATTGAATGAATTAAATAAGTTTGTCTTTCATATTGCAAAATCATAACATAATAGATGCCCGAAACGTCCAAAATTCTGCTTGTAACTTTTTGAATGTTTTTACTTTTACCTGAATAAACATTATTAAACGTGTAACCGGACCCCCAACCAGTTGTATAACCGAAGCCCGACCAGTTGTGTAACTGGACCCGATCAGTTGTGTAACCGCAAGCCTAGCATGAACGAACCGAGCAAACAACATCCGGAGCACAAACATACACGAACCGAAGCCTGACTGCACAACTCAAAACCCAGGTGACACCCCGGGAACCCGACCAGTTTTGTAACCGGAGCCCGACCAGTTTTGTAACCGGAGCCCGACCAGTTGTGTAACCGAAGCCACACCAGTTGTGTAAATGGACCCCAACCTGTTGTGTAGCTGCAAGCCTAGCACACAAACAACTCATCAAACCCACACCAAGCCAAACAAACAGCCCCCAGAGCCCAACCAAACTCCCTCCTTAGCTCTACCAAACAAACCCTTCCTTAGCCTTACCTAACAACCACCCCCCCCCACCCTTCCTTAACAACTAACTTTGGAGCCAAAGCAAACAATTGAGCCCTATACAAATAAAGAAACCTGGAACTCTTGCAAAAATACAACAATGAAGCTCTAGAAAATAAACATGCACTTAGTCATAGTCAAGATACAACCATGATGATCTAGCAAAGAAACATGAGGCACTATCAAACAACCCCTGGAGCACAACCATGCACGAACCGAAGCCCGATCATGCACAACCCGAAACCCAAGTGACACCCCCGGAGCCCGACCAGTTATTTAACCGGAGCCCGACCAGTTATATAACCGGAGCCCGACCAGTTATTTAACCGGAGCCCGACCAGTTGTGTAACCGAAGCCCGACCAGTTGTGTAACCAGACCCCAACCAGTTGTGTAACTGCAAGCCTAGCATGAATAAATCAAACAACCTTTGGATCACAACCATGCATGAACTGAAACCCGACCATGCACGAACCAAAACCCGACCATGCACAACCCGAAGCCCAAGTGACACCCCCAAAGCCCAACCAGTTATGTCACTGGAGCCCGACCAGTTTTGTAACTGGAGCCCAACCAGTTGTGTAACCGGAGCCCGACCAGTTGTTTAACCGCAAGCATAGCATGAACGAACCAAACAACCTCTGGATCACAACCATGCACAAACCGAAGCCCGATCATGCACAACCCAAAGCCCAAGTGACACCCCCGGAGCCCGACCAGTTATTTAACCGGAGCCCGACCAGTTATTTAACTGGAGCCCGACCAGTTATTTAACCGGAGCCCGACCAGTTGTGTAACCGAAGCCCGACCAGTTGTGTAACCGAAGCCCGACCAGTTGTGTAACCGAAGCCCGACCAGTTGTGTAACCGAAGCCCGACCAGTTGTGTAACCAGACCCTGACCAGTTGTGTTACTGGAAGCCTAGCATGAATGAATCAAACAACCTCTGGATCACAACAATGCACGAATCGAAGCCCGACCATGCACAACCCGAAGCCAAAGTGACACCCCCAAAGCCCGACCAGTTATGTAACCGGAGCCCGACCAGTTGTGTAACCAGAGCCCAACCAGTTTTGCAACTGCAAGTATAGCATGAACAAACCAAACAACCTCTGGATCAAAACCATGCACGAACTGAAGCCCGACCATGCACAACCCGAAGCTCCAGTGACACCCTCGGAGCCCAACCAGTTTTGCAACCGGAGCCCGACCAGTTGTGTAACCGAAGCCCGACCAGTTGTGTAACCGGACCCCAACCAGTTGTGTAACAGGACCCCAACCTGTTGTGTAACCGCAAGCCTAGCACACAAACAACTCATCAAACCCACACCAAGCCAAACAGCTCCCAGAGCTCAACCAAACTCCCTCTCAAGCTCTACCAAACAAACCTATCCTTATCCCTACATAACTAACCCCCCCACCCCCACTCTTGCCTTAAGAACTAACTTTGGAGCCAAAGCAAACAATTGAGCACTATACAAAAAAAGAAACCTGGAACTCTTGCAAAAATACAACAATGAAGCTCTAGAAAATAAACATGCACTTAGTCATAGTCAAGAAACAACCATGATGATCTAGCAAAGAAACATGAGGAACTAGCACACAACCCCTGGAGCACAACCATGCATGAACCGAAGTCCAATCATGCACAACCCGAAGCCCAAGTGACACCCCCGGAGCCCGACCAGTTATTTAACCGGAGCCCGACCAGTTGTGTAACCGGAGCCCGACCAGTTGTGTAATCGGAGCCTGACCAGTTGTGTAACCGCAAGCATAGCATGAACGAATCAAACAACCTCTGGATCGCAACCATGCACGAACTGAAGCCCGACCATGCACAACCCGAAGCTCCAGTGACACCCCCGGAGCCCGACCAGTTTTGTAACCGGAGCCCGACCAGTTGTGCAACCGAAGCCCGACCAGTTGTGTAACCGGACCCCCACCAGTTGTGTAACCGCAAGCCTAGCACACAAACAACTCATCAAACCCACACCAAGCCAAACAGCTCCCAGAGCTCAACCAAACTCCCTCTCAAGCTCTACCAAACAAACCCATCCTTATCCCTACATAACTAACCCCCCCCCCCCCACTCTTGCCTTAAGAACTAACTCTGGAGCCAAAGCAAACAATTGAGCACTATACAAAAAAAGAAAGCTGGAACTCTTGCAAAAATACAACAATGAAGCTCTAGAAAATAAACATGCACTTAGTCATAGTCAAGAAACAACCATGATGATCTAGCAAAGAAACACGAGGCACTAGCACACAACCCCTGGAGCACAACCATGCATGAACCGAAGTCCAATCATGCACAACCCGAAGCCCAAGTGACACCCCCGGAGCCCGACCAGTTATTTAACCGGAGCCCGACCAGTTGTGTAACCGGAGCCCGACCAGTTGTGTAATCGGAGCCCGACCAGTTGTGTAACCGCAAGCATAGCATGAACGAATCAAACAACCTCTGGATCGCAACCATGCACGAACTGAAGCCCGACCATGCACAACCCGAAGCTCCAGTGACACCCCCGGAGCCCGACCAGTTTTGTAACCGGAGCCCGACCAGTTGTGTAACCGAAGCCCGACCAGTTGTGTAACCGGACCCCCACCAGTTGTGTAACCGCAAGCCTAGCACACAAACAACTCATCAAACCCACACCAAGCCAAACAGCTCCCAGAGCTCAACCAAACTCCCTCTCAAGCTCTACCAAACAAACCCATCCTTATCCCTACATAACTAACCCCCCCCCCCCACTCTTGCCTTAAGAACTAACTTTGGAGCCAAAGCAAACAATTGAGCACTATACAAAAAAAGAAACCTGGAACTCTTGCAAAAATACAACAATGAAGCTCTAGAAAATAAACATGCACTTAGTCATAGTCAAGAAACAACCATGATGATCTAGCAAAGAAACACGAGGCACTAGCACACAACCCCTGGAGCACAACCATGCATGAACCGAAGTCCAATCATGCACAACCCGAAGCCCAAGTGACACCCCCGGAGCCCGACCAGTTATTTAACCGGAGCCCGACCAGTTGTGTAACCGGAGCCCGACCAGTTGTGTAATCGGAGCCCGACCAGTTGTGTAACTGCAAGCATAGCATGAACGAATCAAACAACCTCTGGATCGCAACCATGCACGAACTGAAGCCCGACCATGCACAACCCGAAGCTCCAGTGACACCCCCGGAGCCCGACCAGTTTTGTAACCGGAGCCCGACCAGTTGTGTAACCGAAGCCCGACCAGTTGTGTAACCGGACCCCAACCAGTTGTGTAACAGGACCCCAACCTGTTATGTAACCAGAGCTGATTTATAACAATGCAAAGGTAGATTTGCACCCAGTAAATCCTCCCCGGTCAGGATACGAACCCATGACATAGCGCTCGCGGAACGCCAGGCGAGTGTCTTACCACTACACCACGGAGACTGACAATCAATTGTCATCAATTGACAATCAATTGACATCAATTGTCATCAATTGACAATCAATTGACTGACAATCAGGAACGGTTGAGAGCCATAGGGCTAACAACACAAACCAAGCATGACGGCAGACTTCATAGAAACCTTTAAAATACTAAACTATTTGGAGGATGTCGATCAGGACAATGTCTTCAAAAGGTTAGATGTTACACGAACAAGGAGCAACGGGTTCAAACTCAACAAACCAGAATGTTGGACAGGAAACAAGAGATGCTTTTTCACTCATAAGGTTGTAAACCCGTAGAACCGCCTACCCGCCGAAGCCGTAAACGCCAAAACTCTGCTGGGTTTTAAAATACAGCTGGAAAAGGTCATCAGGGCAAATGGGGGACCTTTGACAAGCCGCCGGCTTACTGTCCTCATCGAGGCCACTAGTGTTAGTGGCCCTCAGGTAAATTCAGTTCCTGGAGGGGTGTTTCCCGCTTCTTCCTGTTGGGAAGGTTTTCATCTATTGCGATATTTGTACACAGGACTGTCGCTTGTCACTAAACTTAGTTTTTAAAACTATTAACTTGAAATAATTGGGGTGCTCCGCCGGAATCCCCAAAGTGATAAGCTTGCAGATAGCTAAGAAATATTACCACGAATTGTAATTAATGTAAATTCAAATAATGCAACTTTCAATTACTAACTATGTAAATGTAGATATTTAATATCTACACATCAATTAATAGATGTAACTATTAATTGTAATTGATTTAATACTTTATCATTATAATTATTCTTCAATACTTTATTGTTATGCATTAAAGTCCCTAATTATTTTATCATTCACCCTAATTAGCTATTTCCAGTCTCCTTGGTATAGTGGTAAGACACTCGCCTGGCGTTCCGCGAGCGCTTTGTCATGGGATCGTATCCTGCGGGGAGGATTTACTGGGCGCAAATCCTCAACTGTAGCCTCTTTAACTCAACAGTAAAATGTGTACTTGGTTGTAACAACGATTCTTCGCGGCGGGGATCGTATTCCAGGGACCTGCCCGAAACGCTACGCGTACTAGTGGCTGTACAAGAATGTAACAACTCTTGTATACTGTATATATCTTAAAAAAAAAAAAAAAAAAAAAAATTATTATATTAATTATTATTGTATAATAATAATTTATTATTTATTATTATTAATTTATTATTTATTATTATTAATTTATTATTTATTATTATTAAAATTTATTATTTATTATTATTAATTTATTATTTATTAAAATTTATTATTTATTATTATTAAAATTTATTATTTATTATTAATGTATTATTTATTATTATTAATGTATTATTAATTTATTATTATTAATGTATTATTAATATATTATTATTAATGTATTATTAATTTATTATTGTTAATTTATTATTTACTATTAGTTTATTATTTATTATTAATTTATTATTTATTATAAATTAAACAAGTCCCCACTCTGAGCACGTTTTCTTCCAACCGCAGAAATAATATTACCTTATACGCGAGAATAATTTTGAATACGCAATGCGATAAAATTGACGAATGAGACCACCGCCCTCGGGATAGGTATGGGGTGAATAATAAAGAAATTGAATGGCGGCTTTGGATCGGGCGGCGGCGGAGACGAGCCTGGCCTGAGGACAGACAACTGTAAATGATTCACCCTCCACATACTTCAAGTGTAAATAATTGCCAACAGAACCTACTACACTCTTAATTAAACATAGAATATAAAATTAATTTATACACTATAAAAACTATTTTTAATACACAGTACATGAAAGTCGATTATAAATGCGTCTTGGGGTGGGGGGGGGAGGTCGACCGCCGCGTTAACGAGCCTAGGCTGACGACGGGGTGGTTTAACACTATGGGGGAAGTGTATTCTACATAATATTCTACCCATATAATGTTGGCAAATCATGATCCTCAAAATCTTCCACAATATTCGAGAGAGGACAGACTATTTAGCATTAGTGGGATACAAACATTTGAATACTGCAGAACCCGGATGAAAAAAAAAACAATACGGAAACAAATGACATTCGGAGACATTACAAATACTCGATGTTATAAGAGCGAACAAATGTATAATGCATTAAGCATTATAGGTGGAGGTAGACTATATATTCATGCGTACCTTCCAACGTCAGATAAAATATATTAGCAAAAAAAAAATGATCAGCCTTACCTACACGGGAACGAGGTTGTTCACGCCGCCGCTGCTTCCTGACGACTGACGGGGTCACAGTCGATGACCCGTAACCGTCCAACCGACCCAGAGACCCTCTGCCTAAAATTATTTGAACGCCATATTGAAATTCCTAGCGCCAGGAGTGTATAAATTAATATTTTTATGCATTATAGGCCTTTCTAAAATAATTTATAGATCTGAATATCATATATTGTCTAACAAATGAATTATTTAAGTTAATATTTTAATTATGCCAGGGGAAGAGCCGGGCGCGTGCTTTACCACTACGCCACAGAGGATGTGACGTAGTGGAATTTTGAATTTTGAAACCTGACTAACCTAGCTCAACCCAACCTAACGTAACCCAAATCAAACCAATCTAATCCAACCGAGCCCAATGCAGCCTAACCTTAATAGCATAACCTAATACAGCCTAGCTTAACGACGTACATTACATCCGGTTTTAAAACAGTAAATGAGTCAATGAAACGGCCTGCTACAGCTTTATCTGGGTGAGTTTTTTCAACAAAACTTTGCAGTTCTTCCCATACTTCACACGTTTTCTTAATGTGGTAGGGGCATCCTTTACTGTCTCTACTCACAACAATTTTCTTAGGTTAAACCTTACCACTAGTGACTTTCTTGGGACCCATGGCATGATATATATAATTACTTTTATGTTCAAAAAACAAAAAAGCACAAAAACAACGAAATTTTTTACAAAGAATTCCAGGACAATCGTCCCTATTGATTGATTAAGAATTCCAGGACAATCGTCACAATGGACGTGGGGTCCCTCGATTGTTTCAAGCGTGGGTTGAACATGTATATGAGTGGGATTGAGTGGTTATAAATAGGAGCTGCCTCGTATGGGCCAATAGGCCTTCTACAGTTACCTTGTTCTTATGTTCTTATGTTCACTAAGCTAGTGGCTCTGGTCAACTGAGGCAGGGATACCCATGCCACCAGAATCATGCACTCATATGTGTATCAACAACGAAATTGGGGTTGTAACTCAAAAAAAAAATTAAGTTGGGGCTTTCGTAAGTCGAGGATCCAATGTATTATTAATGTATTGTTTAATGTAATTATGTGTTAAAAACAAAGGCTGTCATCTGTCATTCAGTAGCCTAACAGCAAAACCCAGTGTAGCCTATATTATCTGTAGTGTACTAAGTACTTATCCCAATAATTACTAATGACACCTGCAGTCATTGCACTAGCCATTAATGGTCTCTAATTATACTAATGCATATTCTCCAATATTTCCACGAATCACTCAGCACTGCCAAAAGTAACCAGCGATTTTCCTATCAGACCAAATGGTGTTCAATCTAGCAAGTGAACAGTAAACTGTGTCCAACATGTAAGGTGGACACAGACATAGTATGGTCAAGAATACAGCAGTCTGTCTAGTTTCAATTCTCACATGAGAAGCTACAGGTCTTGCTACAGAGCAGACAACCAATCCCGACTTTATTTGACCTTCCCACTCTCACCCCTCATTTGAGCTCTCTGCTCCCATCCATGTTCAAGCTTTTTGCTCTCACCTTGCTTCGAACTCTCTGCCCTAGACCCTCGCTCATGCTCTCTGCTTTCAGCTCCAGGCCTCACTCAAGCTCTCCATCTCTAGCCAACTTTAGCACCAAGTCCTACCTGACTCCACTAGCAAAACAAAATAAGCATCCTTGGCTCAACCTGTCATGACACGTCATACCATTCCTAACATCCAACTGCTGTAACCAAGACTGTATTAAATGAACATAAAAAAAATCACCATACTCTTTGAATGTTGTCACCCAAAATTGTACATGTTATACCAGTAATTTGGATTTTCACCACACCAGATTGTGGATTCACCACACCAGAAACAAATACCTATTTGATATTCCAAGAGTCGACTTAATCAAACTAGAAATGCTCTACAAATCAAGGGACCCAGAATGTGGAATGACCTTCCCAGTCATGTTAAAGACTGTACTTCTCCCAACCAGTTTAAGATAAAAACTAAGTACTACCTAATTAACTCCAAGTAACCTACCTTCCCCTAAATGTCAACGCATGTCTATTTTAAACAATGCTGTTTGTCGACCAAATTGTATATTTGCTATTTTTCTGCCATGTTCACCCCCCTTTTTTAATTTTATATTATCTCATCACAATTTATACTTTAATCTCAATTAGTATTAAGTTTTAGTCTTAGTGTTTTTCCTGCCCGAAACGCTTTGCTTAATAGTGGCTTTAGGCATTGTATGTACTAGCTCTATTTATAAATTCATCAATGTTTGTATCACACCTTGTATGTATGTACTTTACAATATTTGGGTCAAATTACCCAAAGATTTAAGTTACTGAGGTTCAAATTAGAGAGCTATTACAGTACAGTATATTATATAGATCAAAATAACATGCAAGGATAATACAATAAACAGACATTTACTATAATTTTTCTGTACAGCTTTATACATGATTATCATAATACAGTATATACATTAATGTGGTTATCACATTTAGTTGAATTTGTACATATCTTAGTGAATGAAGGATGAATTACAAAAATAACAAGACCTGTAATCAATATAACATTTCAGAAAAGTAAAGTAGGCCATTCTAATTTAAATCTTTATTTCAAAGCTTAAAACTTCATTTTGAAAGTTCAGGTGCACTGGGGTGGGGCTTCCCTGTTTGATATATTGCAACAGTTTGATCCCATGCACAGTCTACCATTACACCCTGTTTATGATTAGAGAAGTCCAGGCCATACACAAACTCAGTGTGATACTTCATCACTTCCAAGCAGGGAGAGGGCACTGTGTGGTCCCAAAGTCTGAAAAAATCATAAGATTAATTTAAACAGTTTTTACTATAACATAAATGTTTGAAATTCAATCAAGCTTTTATGACAACTTCAAAGTTATCCTGCAGGTCACATAATAATTTAAATAAATGATGTTTTTATAAGCATCCGTAATCCATAACAAAGTAGGCCAGTTAGCTCTAACAATTTACAGAAGCACTACCACTGAGAGATTAAGAAGTGTTCCCTTCCCCTGGTTATGGTTCTTTTTTTATGCTATGCTAGGCTTTATTTGCTTTATTTACCTGGACCTCCAAGAGAACATTCTGCACCTCATCATAGGAAAAATATGAAACTGTACAAGGGAGACAGGCCCAAGCATAATCTAAAAACTGAGGACCATTTGCCTGAAGGCCAGACAGGCATTGAAGAAGTACACAGCCATATCCTGAAGTATAGTAGCATACAACTTTGGAAAAATTTAAACCACTGCAGCTGCAAAAGAGAGACTCAACATCTCACTATGCCTTAGCCCATCAAACTGCACCTGAAGCTGAGAAAGAACTGACTACCCAAAAGGCAAGATGGGGTGGGGTTGGTTTTATCAATGACTCAGTGCAACAGCTAACACCGGATATAACCAGACAAATTATATTGAATAGGTTAAAGGAAGCATTTCCTCAAGGGTAGCAGATGGTTTGAACAAACTCAAAGATGGAGTGCGAACAAAGATCACTTGATATTTAAAAAATATTTGTGGTAAAATATATAAAGAAATAAAGGCTACAGGACATCAGGAACACAGCTCTCTCTGATGCTACAAACGTGTAATAAGAGCACCACGTACTGCACAAATACTCATGAATGCACAGGCAAGCAAAAATACCCAATTGTTTGCAAAACTCAGAACTTACCCATTTACTGATTATGATCTACTAGTATAGCATATAATAAGCCTATTATACCTTGTAGTGAAATCATAGGAAACTGAAGCTAACTGAGTCTCGACGAAGGGAGAAAACTTCACTCTGCGCACTGGATATTCATGTCCCTGAAATATAGAAAATCAATTTAATCTGTTGAATTTGAAGGTACTGTATGTGAAAGTACCACATGTTATACCATATATAAAAGAGTTTGCTGTACTGTAATGCAATGGTTAATATAATATAGAAACTTTACAGTAATTCAATATCTGAACAATGCATGTGTAGCCAGAAGGTTGTGCTATAAATTGTGATAGCATGTAAGACTGAAATGATTGTTTATGAAACATGGAGGCAATACAGGCATGTAAATTCAGACAGCTCAAGAGAATTTGCTATTGCATATCAATGAAGCAAGCAGGGTTAAATATACATGCTGTTAGAGGTAACGTGTGGCTAAACAGAGATATAATAAAGGAATACAAGTTACAAATAGACTTTATGAGAATAAATTCAACTTAATATGCAGATATCCTTTGTACCTACACATCTGTAATGCCATGTCTATAATACTCTGGAAGTAGCATGTAGAAAATCTGGCATGCTAAGGGTCAAGTATGTTATTCTATCCCATGAGCACACTGCCAGTGGGCATTATATGAGACCAGTGTGTGCACTACATTACAGTAGTACTAAAGAAGCCACAATGGTGATACTAACTCTGCACTGCATTTGGAATATTCTTTTCAGCTTGTTCAGTTTGCTGTGCTCTAGAAGATTTGTCTACCCTAGAAGACAACAAAATCTACCTCTTCATTCCCTTGCCTTACTGAAATCACTATATCTATGTAGAGGGCCACAAGGCTAGCAACATTGCAAACCAGACATGACAGGGCTGATGTCATCAAAACTTTTAAAATACTGAACACTTTCAGAGGATATTGATCCAGGCCACTTCTTTAAAGGGTTTGATATAATACAAACAAGGAGCAACAGTTTCAAGCTCAACAAGCTACAATGCAGGACAGAAAACTGGAGATGCTTTTTCACCCACAGGGTGAAAAAGCCTGTTAATATAAACCTTGTTAAAAATGCTAAAAATGTTAAAGCCATTAATATAAACCCTTTGAAGTGCCTACCTGCCAAAGCCATAAATGCCAAAATACTATTATTTCAAAATCCAGCTTGATAAACTCATCAGGACAAATAGAGGACCTCTGACAAAACTCTGGCTTCCTGTCCTCATTGAGGCCAAAAGAGAGATGGTGGCATCACATTAACTCGACCAGGTGTAATACCATATCCATACCACTATAAACATCACACCCAAAGAAGAGGCAGCACTTACCCACAATATGTTTCCATGACCCAAGGTATGTTATGTTGTTCTGTATATTATGACATGTTACCCTATGTAAAAGCAATATATGTACTGTATAGGATATACAGCTGAGCATACTGGAGTTCATTTACATCATACCATTTCAATAAAGTACATGAGATAGACTGCATAAAAACCTTAAAGTATATTGTTTAATAGCTTACTGAAATACTTACATGGAGAATATAGATAGGTTGTCCAGGATGTCTCAGATCCCATCCAAAGATATTGGAATCAGTGGTTGATGTGGCAACAATATTTTCATTATACTTGCACCAATCACAGCTAAGAACTTCGCCATCACAAACACGTATTGTCATTGATGGCCGAGAGCTTCTTTTTACGTTCCATATTCTTAATGTTCCATCACCTAAAATTTACAGAATAAAATGATTAATACTCTATATAAAACTAAGCATTTATTTTTCAAATAGTGCCCGCTACAAGTTCTGTGCTATTTGGAGATGAAGCACATACAATAAGCATGATAATAAGCATGATAAAAAACATGCACTTAATGCTGCAGTAATACTAGAACAAGAAACCTAATAAAGAAAGGAAAGGCACCCACAGGACAAAAAGAGTCATAGGATGACCAGCACTTAGCTTGAAGTGGCAAGGGTTGCCCATAAATGACAAACTGGAATGCTATAGACAGATTTAAATGCTACCTCATCAGCAGCAGAATTGACCAGGAGAACCGGCCGAGGGCTGTGGTCGGGCCTCCTGGTAGTGGGAATTGATACTACTGAGTTTCAAGCTAGCTGGACTGAATCCCTTGTTCTGACTTTCTGGAGGCTTTTTCCAGTGAGGTAGCAGACTGTTACTCACTCCCTGTGCCTCTGTGAGAGGGGAGCCAAGTTCTGGCTCTGGTCCCTGGAGGGAAGCTACCTCAGGAAAACATTTGTATTACATCTGGTATATTCTACTTTCCATGTAGACATTAAAAAAACTCACCCTTTATATAAAAGGGTGAAAAAATTACTTTCCATTCTTCTATTTATAAGTATATAATTATTAGAATTAAATTTTTTATTGTATAAATAGTAAAATAAAGCATATGTAGGAGGAGGACAAATGTAAAATAATTTCTCAAATGTATGGAGACTATTGAAGTAAGGGCCCTTGAATGTTTCCTCATCCAAAGTCTTCATGATCCACACATGATTTGTATCATCTGTCAGGCACTATTTTATTCCCATCATGACAAGAATCTCTGTAAATGGTCCTGTTGTATATGAAAAATTCTCGCTGTCTTCTGAGCCATGTTTTGTTTGGACATCAGGATCTGTGGCTTCCGAATATTTAACTAAAGTTTTGCATGAGGCCTAGGTGGGTAGGTGCCATCAGTGCCAAGTCACCCTGGGCTGGCTCTCCATCATATGACTCTTGTTTGGCACCTGGATGCCTGTGGCATTTGCTATGGTAGCATCCGAGAAACCTTAACGCTGAAACAGGGTGTTAAAACAGTCAAATGCTCCTTCCTGATCTGGATCCTCAGGTGTTTTATACACTATTTTTCATTTATATGTTAAAAGCCTTGTTTGGCTCACTTAATGTATGTGATGTGCATGAAGGAAATGCCGAGATAGTGACTGTATTTTTGCCAAAATGCTTTACATACCAGAGGATGTTTTTAATATGCAACCCCTGTACCTTCAAATATACCTCTGTAATATAATGTTATGTATACATATTTTACAAATATTATTATTATTATTATTATGATTGAAAGCTATACACTCACCTGCAGCTGATGCAACACAGCCAGACAAATGAGGAGACCAAACAGCTTGATACACAAGTGATTCATGACCTGTCATTGTCACTACAGACCTGCCATGACTGGGATCCCACTGAAATTTAAAATAAATGTTTAAACATAAGGTAACCTGGAAGGAATATTTAAAATTCAATTTCTACATGGAAACTTTGTAAATAAGAGTTAACATTAATACAGTGTAAACAAAATTACAGTATAAAAAATAAAAATAAAGTATAAAAAATAAAATTACAAGCCAAGCAGGCAGTCAAAACCAGTCATATTTGTCAGTCAATGTTAACCAGTCAAAATGAGTAAAAACCAGTCATTGTTAGTAAAAACAAGTGTTGAGTGTAATGAAACAGCCTTTCCTGAGAAACTGCTCAGTATAGTAGCTCCTCGGAGCTTGCAGCACTGACGCCACAAGTGCCCTTCCAAAACAGTAGGTTCTAAGACTATCTTGATCTACCAGGATCCAGGACCAATATCTGGCCCTGGTGGCAAGATGCATATAGAGTAAAGCTATCAAACACTGAAACACATCACTGAAAGATAACAGAAAGCATGAGGAGATGTGCACAAAACAAATGGTCACTTAAACATGTCTCTCATGCACAAAAATGGGAGGCTGTTCATAATTAAACCATCCTCTTTAGGCTAAACCAAGCACAGCACTACTCATCCAAAAAGAATGCAGTTTCCACATGAATGTACATTAACACTCTTGGTGTATGAAGCAGTGCAAAGGACTTCAGAATGAATCACCAACCATGGAAGGAATGTAAACTAAAAAAGGATGGCCCTTCTCATGCCTCTAGGCATACAGCATTGAATCCCATCCCCAAAGGGGGAGACACACTGGTAATTTGCCAAAGGAAGCCAAAATATTAACAACTACATTTCTCTATCAACAGAACCTCAAGGCTCAAAGCACTATCCAGAATAAGGGCAATTTGAAAGTTGTCAACCGAATGAAAGGGCTCCTCAGAGAATAAGTTAAACTCTGATGGCCAACTGGGTTCTTTGATGGTGACAGGAAAGAGAACCCTAAAACAAGAGCCAAAGCAAAACTAAGCCATGAGGGAATCGCAACATGGTCAGCCAACCATGATTGCCATATTTGAACAGTCAGAATACAGGACACCTCCACTAACAGCCAACACGACCCTTCGTGTCCCTGCCCAACACACACTGAGGGCCTTTGGCATTATATTATTATCCATTATATAATTATATAAATTACATTATAATTCTGGCACCTGAATCCAGGATATGTCCTGGAAAATACGGACGTATGGTAACCCTACAGTCAACACACTAGTGAAGTGTACAACAGGCTCCATTACTGGACAGTCTGAAAGAAAACCTAACCCCCTTATTTGTATGAGTGTCCAGTCACACAGCATGAATATCACTATGGAGCTGTGATACATCAGGAGGGTTGCATGCTGGGATTTTGGATGACTTGAGCTGCCACCTGGTGATGATTGGAAGAATTCAACTGGTTTTGTTGCTTGTTCAAACTATTGGTTGGATGGTTTAGCCTTATCATTCGTTTCTCCTAGAGATGTTGATTGCTATATTTTTGCCATTTAACTTTCTGAGCAGCTCATCTTGATTGTTGGTTCATTCTTGATCCACATGTACTCTTTTTGCTTTCTTGTAGGGGCTGGATAGCAGTCGTAGCTGTGAGGCTGAGAAAGTCTCAGGAATCTAATGTATGGGAAATTCCTTGTGGTATCAGCACCATGAGCTCAGGGGAGTTACTGGGGGGGGCACCTCACAAATACTGTATATTAATAAAAACATGGATTAGACTTGTATGTTTATTAAACACATGGACATAGATAGGCAAGCTAAAATTAAGCAATGTCCAATACAATACAATACTGTCCAAGACTAACATATATACCAGTTTTAATGTTGTGTCCCATGAAGCAGAGATGAACTGATGCTCTTGTGTTTGATTCCAATCTACACTATAAACTTCCTTCAAATGCTCTTGGTACACCATCAGAGGAGCCTGTTAAGACAAATGATGTAAAAACATATGTTGCATATAATTTACATAGGCTAGAAGACATACTGTATATGTATTGTTGGCTTAAACTTTAAGAATGTTTTTCTTATTCCTGATTACTATGCCACTCGGAGGCATTTTCTGCATGCAATTAAAATTCAAACAAAAACATTTCAAATTTGCAACATCTTCCTAACTTAATCCTACAACAAAATAATATGTCTCTTCCCAAATAACATTTGGAAGCATTCATTGAACTTTAAAACTTTCTTAAAGCTGTTTAGAGTAACTTGAGAAAAGCATCCAAGTGTGCAATGTTATGTGAATACATAAACAAAGAGGAATGGCAAATAGGTAGTAGATTATGCTGGTTTTTCCATGATCACATTTACAATGACAATCATATTAACACATGCACCCAGTAGTTCCTATATAAAGTAGTATCTAACTTCTTAAGGTTAGCTCCCATAACTGTGGATCAGAGGAGATACAAAATACAACAGATGTAAAAATTGCTTCTTGTTTAACATCACTGAACAAGAAACAAATTCTAGCTGTAAATAAAAAGCAAATTCAAAGTAGCCAATGACTTAAAGGAACCAACGTGCAGTACAGAGTCTGAGAGCCAAGATGAATACCCTAGATCTGTACAGTACTGTATATGAAAATTGATATAGTACGGTAATATAAATGGAAGGAGGTACATTACTAAGCAATACATCACATACCTGTGGCTTGGCTGTATCCCAAAGCTGCAATGTGCCGTCTCCTGATGCACTAACGATGTTATTGGGTAATTGCTCACTCCAAGCCAGGTCAAACAAAGCATCACTCCATTCGGAGCTGCTCACCACACCGTCATCCGGAAGACAAAGATCTGACAGGATCAACCTTCCTCTGCCTAAGAATTGAAATTTCACTGCAAATAATCTACTGGGTGTGTTAATTTGTGTGAATGTTCAGATATTAATACTGTATACCAACACATTATCACGGATACTTATATATTTTGTGGAGTGGTAATTGTTATTACTACTGTACTTTTCTTATACTGTAGTAATTATTGATAATACTTTTCTAGAATGTATCAATTAATCAGACAAGCTTGTATTGCCACAACCCACTGTGCCTTCTGGTAAAATGCACTCCCTGATCTTGGGAAAAGAAACCTCCCAATTTGCCCTTTATTCAGGGCAAAGTCCTCCCTGAATAAATTAACATTTAAACAATCACCTTTGTTTTAATTGGTCTCACCTGACAATCCAAAATTCTGTCCTGTTGCAACAGCAACAAGATTGGGATTAAATGGGGAAAATTTGACACCATATCCATGGTGACCAGGTGTACGAAGAATACGAACATGGCCTTCTGACATCTTTTAACTGAAAATAATGATGTATATAATGCAACATTAGTGTACATTAAGAATTTGACATATTTTGATGGAAACTATATTAGATAACATGGGGAAAAATATCAGTCCAAGTTTTTGAAGTGCTTTCTGAGCATATCATTATGATGCACCCTAAGGTATATCATGCACTTTGTGTTATGTTAAAGATTATGCTATCAAGCAGGCTGACATACAGAATTACCTCTACAGGAAACTTATTGAAAATTCATACAAGGTGCTAGGAAGTCATGAGGAATAATATATCAGGCAAACCAAGAACGACAGACAAATGGTCTGTTAATAAACTTTTGCAGTGAACAATGATTCTCAGACATAGAACCCTGGTTTGAATCCTGGCCAGAACAGCAACAATTTGGCACCATTTCTTTTCACTCCATGCCTCTGTTCACCTAGCAGTAAATAAGTTCCTGGGAGTTAAGACAGCTTCTTGGTGCTCTATCCTAGGGATAGTTAGTAATTGGCCTAGTAGTTAGATATAAATGCACATACACATTCACAGAGGCAAACTGACAGATAGACAAATTTATAACTAAAATACAGAACTGTATCAACCTAGGCAAAAATATATTGTACCACTATGACATCTTTAATTGCTCAACTACTCTATGAACAAGCTAAGATAATACAGTAGATAAGCTAGCTTTCAAACACTCAAAACACTGCATAATTAAAAAATTTACAAAATATTATTTAACTATGTCCAGTATATTGAGCAAACATATAGAGAAGTAAATTATATGAATATATTAAACACAATAGTGGGACCAAAAGATAGATTCTTTTATTGGACGGTCTGATATCACTTATCCAAGCAAGGATGCTTAAATAAAGATGAACGAAGAATTCAGTAAAAAAGTACTTTACAGTAACTATCTTCTGTATGCATTTTTTTGCAAATAGAGATGATTATTGATTGTATGACTCATGTTGCACAGTCGAGTGCTGAAATGGCAAAAAAACTAGACTATCCATGCTAAAATATGGTCACCTTTATTAATACATCCTCCCTTGAATATGGTCATTTTCAATACCACATCTTTGCTTGAACATGGTCAGCTTTATTAGCAGACCCTTGCTTGAATATGGTCACCTTTATTAGAGCATACTTGCTTGAATGTGGTCACCTTTATTAGCACATCCTAGCTTGAAAATGGTCACCTTTATTAACATATCCTTGCTTGAAAATATGCATCTTTATTAGCACATCCTTGTTTGAATATGGTTATCTTCATTAGAGCATCATTGTCTGAATATATTCCCTTTATTAACACATCCCTGCTTGAATTTGATAATGTTTATTAGTGTATCTTTCCTCAAATAAGGGTCTTGGTAGTGCAGTGGGGTTTGTTCTTGACTCACAATCAGTAATTCCAGGTTTGAATCCCAATCGGAACAGAAATGGTTGGGTGCATTTCCTATCATCTAGTGCCACTGTTCACCTAGCAGAAAATAGGTATCTGGGAGTTCTTCAACTGTTATGGGGGTTGCATCCTGGGGAAGGTCAGTAATTCGACCTTAGGGGGACCTCAATATAAGCCTAATATGTATATTTTATATATATATATATATATATATATATATATATATATATATATATATATATATATATATATATATATATATATATATATATATATATATATATATATATATATATATATATATATATATATATATATATATATATATATATTATATATTATATATATATATATACTGTATATATATATTAGTATATTTTGGTAGCAGTCTTTCCTGTAGACATATATTATTAAATATGACCGAAAAAGTAAGATTAATAATTCTAACACGAATTTTCTCTATCTTATGTTTCTTTTCACTGTTGATGGTAATTCAAAGATTAATTCTCCAAATAAAATAAAAATGAATTTTGGAGAATTGATCTTTGAATTACCATCAACAGTGAAAAGAAACATAAGAAAGATAGAGAAAATTCGTGTTAGAATTATTAATCTTACTTTTTCGGTCATATTTAATAATATATATATATATATATATATATATATATATATATATATATATATATATATATATATATATATATATGTCGTACCTAGTAGCCAGAACTCACTTCTCAGCCTACTATGCAAGGCCCGATTTGCCTAGTAAGCCAAGTTTTCATGAATTAATGTTTTTTCGTCTACCTAACCTACCTAACCTAACCTAACCTAGCTTTTTCTGGCTACCTAACCTAACCTTACCTGTATATATAGGTTAGGTTAGGTTAGGTAGGGTTGGTTAGGTTCGGTCATATATCTACGTTAATTTTAACTCCAATAAAAGAAAATTGACCTCATACATAGTGAAATGGGTAGCTTTATCATTTCATGAGAAAAGAATTATAGTAAATATATTAATTCAGGAAAACTTGGCTTATTAGGCAAATCGGGCCTTGAATAGTAGGCTGAGAAGTGAGTTCTGGCTACTAGGTACGACATATATATATATATATATATATATATATATATATATATGTATATATATATATATATATATATATATATATATATATATATATTACACTGGCTGCCTGTCCCCAGACTCAATGAATTATTATTATTCTTATTATTATTATTACTATTATTATTATTATCATGCTTATTCAGTAAAAAACTTTCATTTTTTTATATACTATAGCATGAAATATCATTATATGCGCAAACAAGCTAGGCACTCAAAACTAAGACAATTAAAAGGTAATTATGAGAAGAAAGTGCTAAGCTAGTATGACTATATACTTGTATAGCACTTGAAACAGATATAAGGTCAAAGATTTGGGATATGGCAAAGGGAAGAAATAGAGCCCAATCACTTGGACCATCGAGAATTGAGGTCGAACGGAGTGTCTCAGGAACTGAATTCGGGAGCCGAGGCAACCAGGAGTTGAGGCACCTAAGAGCTCAGGCAACCAGGAGCCGATGCACCCATGAGCCGAGGCACCCAGGAGCCGAGGCACCCGGGAGCCGAGGCACCCGGGAGCCGAGGCACCCAGGAGCCGAGGCACTCAGGAGCCGAGGCACCAAGAGCCGAGGCTCCCGGGAGCCAAGGCACCCGGGAGCCAAGGCACTCAAAAGCCAAGGCACTCAAAAGCCAAGGCACTCAAAAGCCAAGGCACTCAAAAGCCAAGGCGCTCAAAAGCCAAGGCACTCAGGAGCCAAGACACTCAAGAACCGAGGCACTCAGAAACCGAGGCACTAAGGAACCGAGGCACTCAGTTCAGGCACGCAGGAACCGTGGCACTCAAGAGCTGAGGCACGCAGGAGCAAAGGCACTCAGACTTTAATCAAGTTATTAGCTGTTTATATACGTCTTTTACCAAGTGTATTTTGTTGATGTTGTCGTGTATTGGGGGCGACGACCACCCGAGGGTCGGATGCGCCCAGCTGATAATGTTGTTGTTGATATAAGGACGACAGCTGATAAGTTGTTGTGTGACAATAATACTTCGTCTTTCGTTCGTTTGCGTTTGTCGTTCCTTTACTTTCTCAAATTGCATATTACCGTTCTTAAAATTTAATACTTCATTATTTGTGGGTTTATCTAACCGTATCTAACTCATACAATAGACCATTTTCAAACACTGAAATAAATCTATATACTTATATAAGAAAACGGTAGATCCGAAAGAGTGTTAAGATTAAAAATAAATGTTGATACTGGGTGTGCCATACTTTGATTAATTATAAAGCCAGTGTTCATTAAAATACATTTAATTTTCAAACTATAGGAAACTTTTATTTTGTGCCATTCAAGAGTACATCAACATAATTATTAATTCAAAGTTGATTTAAGAACATAAGAACTTGTTCTTATGTTCGTGCAGTACCCGTGGCGAAGTGGTAAGACACTCGCCTGGCGTCTCGCGAGCGCTTTGGCCTGGGTTTGTATCCTGTTGGCCGGGGAGGATTGACTGGGCACCAATCCTTAACTGTAGCCTCTGTTCACCTAGCAGTGAAGAAGAAAATAAAGAGTACTCAGTGAAGACCTTGTGGATCCTCAGTCAACACTGATATTTTCTTCTCCTACCACCCCTATTATTTTTGTATATATATATATATATATATATATATATATATATATATATATATATATATATATATATATATATATATATATATATATATATATATATATATACGTATGAGTATTGATATGCAGACGAGGAGTAACAATAACGTGACTGAAATATGTTGACCAATACACACACTAGAAAGTGAAGGGACGACGACGTTTCGGTCCCTCCTAGACCATTCTCAAGTTGACCGAAACGTTGTCGTCCCTTCACTTTCTAATGTGTGGTTTGGTCAACATATGAGTATTCACTTCTCCTACCAACCCATTTTTATTTATATTGTACACTTTATTATACACGGTTACTCAGTTACGTATCTTATTGGTTACATAAAGAGAACATTAAGAGGAAATAAGGAAAAAGTTTGTTTCCTAGAGGCTGTAGATTTCTTCGAACTCCTCCGACGCCGGGCAGGAACCGAGGATGCAGCGGACATTCCCCCTCTGGATCGCTACACCGTGGCGCTGGAAGAGAAAACATGTCGCATATTGATATATATTTAATTAATTCTACCGGTTAGCGTTGCTAATTATTATTATTATTATTATTACAGAGCGGCGACTGAGACACGAGGACAGTGGTGGCAGGGTCGGGTATTGAGTCACGGGGCGGGCGAGGTGGGGCACCTGGAGGGTTGACGTCACACATCAACATACAAGGTGCGTGGGGGCGCAGGGGGGCCATGTGCGCTCTCATCAACAAGAACAAGTCAAGACGAGGCGTGCTCCTCGATTACTCTTGCCATGCTTACAAATATTTCACAATTGACGTCCTCGCTTGTGGCTCTATTTTTGACTAAGCGATTCAACATCTGGACCCATTTTTCCTGAATTAGCATATATATACAAAAGTTCCTCTGGTGTGATTTTAAATGAAATAACGTAACAAGCACTAATAATTTGTTTATAGTAATAATTCGTTTTATTGGGGGGACAAGAAGCTTTTGTATATACTTTAAGAGTATATACAGGTCCCCTTCCCCAAGGTCGAACTACTGACCTTCCCCAGGATGAAACCCCACAACAGTTCTCTAACTCCCGGGTACCTATGTACTGTTAGGAATCAAACCCGGGGTCCCCAACTGGACATTATGACAGTTTTAATTAAAATCACATTCTCTTAGATAACCACAATCCAAAGAAATATTAGAATAATTAGCATTTTTATAATTTTTTCTAAATCAGCATATAAAACTACCCATGGTGTGATTTTAAGTAAAATAATAGACGAAAAACTTCTCTCTAAAACAAGGCTTCATCAAAGAAAGAACCCACAGCTTCTACACACAACCAGATCACCACCAGAGATATCCCAACCAACGACACGGAAATAATCGACAGATGGTTATATATGCAACTGGGAAAATTAGTAAACGCAGAGATTGGGAATGCATCTGCTGCCAAACAATTACAGAAAAGCCCCTACTTCACTATCTCCTGGTATGTGAAGCAACCAAGGATCATAGAGGAGCTTTAAGAGTCCCTGAATCTTGCAGTAACCACCTTGAAGGCATCATCACTGCCACTCTTCTGGTCAGAAAATGTGTCCAGCATGTTGTTGCTTTAGATTTAGCTACTCAGAAGGAAGTGTCCATGTAGCACGGGCTATGGTGATCCCGTAAGTGTTTAGCAGCTGGACATTCTCATAAATACTGTCAAGCAGTATCCTCCCCCGCGATTGCAGCCACATAGTAAGGACTGATGAATAAGTAGTGTACCACATCAAATTGTTTGGATGTGTGATAATGGTAAGATAGACAGTATACTTAGGAGCTACAAGAATTTTGCCCCAAGAGTGTAACACTTATATGCTGTGTTTACTATATTAACCTGCAATGTTAAATGGGATTCTTGTATTGTGATTTGTGTATTTGTACTCACTGAATTTGTGCGCCCCTTGAGGGACTTGAAGTAGTGGGGTAGAAATAGCCTAAGCTACTCTATCCCTTTGAGATGTATTTTTCTTGTCTCAATAAATATACTTGAACTTGACAATGTCAGACCACGTCTTGACAATGTCACCTTCTGAAGATGTATTTAATATACGAAAGTACTTAAGGAAATTTCCTGTTTCATTTTTCCTCCGTGGTCTGACATTGTCACATTCTTAATCACGTGTTTATTTTCGTGATATACACACATACTTGAACTTGAAGGACTGATGATTTAAATGAGAGCTCAGCACACAGTATATCCTTTCACGACCAAAGACAATATTCTATCCAAAAAATCTACCACTTACGGGCTACTCATGCCCGTGCCACCTCTCGGCTTGTTCAACCTTCATCAATCAATGCAACAAAGATGAAATTGAAATTTACCATTGGCTTGCGGCTTCAGTGAACCCCCACTGGCTTGTGGCTAATTATTATAAGCGCCGCAAGCCAGGCTAATTAATTATTATTAATTATTATTCGCTCAACTTATTATTTCCTAACATACTGGAATAGTTGATGCCAGTTACTCTCTATACATCCCGCGCTATAATACCAGCGTCAGTCTTATGCCATGAGCCCATTATTGATTACTTCACCTGTTGGTTAACCTTGCATAAATTATTAATTAAGATGTGGAGTAACTGAATGATTTTTTTATTGGCAAATTGTATTATTGACTAATTATATGATATTATCGATTGTTTGGTTAATTAACTGACTGATTGGATGGTGATAGACTAAGTTTCCTTGCGTTGATTTCGATTTACACTACCATGGTAAGCTATATAATACATACAGTATGTGTAATAGCACTACAATTTAAACATATTATTTCATTTTAAATTTATAACTAAAAAGAGTTGGAAAGATTTGAAATCGTTCAATGATATCTTCCACACTCAACAGCATCACAAAAAAGTACCACAAATAATTAAGCTGTAACAAAACACACACACTCACGACTTTAAAGATTATTGTGGGATTTAAACCAAAAAATATTAGTGTTTACAGTTAGGATACGCCCTTTCAAATTGTTACCATTATATGTATCTGCAACAAAGATATCAGTAACTTTTAAAGATAATTATTTCTATAGATTGAAAAAATTATATCAAGTTGCAAATATATTTATTTCAAATTCAGCTGTCATGTATTCAAGGAAAATATTTTAAAGTTTCCCGCCAGATGGTGATATTTAAAAGAATAGAGGATAAAAACAAATACATCGTGCTTACAATAATCCAAAACATATGTTCTTATAACATATCTGAGGTTAAAAGCAGACTTATAAATATATATTCGATGCTAAATTGTTTCCTACAACCACAGCAGTTCCAGTAACCTCAGCGTCTATACCCTCTGTTCTCTTCTCTGATTGGCTGTAGTCCGTTTTCTGTTTGTGCCCTCACCAATCTTATATGGCAAATGTAGTCGATAACAGTTAGCCACCTGCGACAACTTAAATTTGAAGCGTCTTGTTTAGTGGCTGTACCACCAGTTCGGTGTAGTGAATTAACCTTTGAGAGTAAAAGCTCTCCGTCCTGAGATGGATGACGGCCAGTAGTCACGAAGGACTAGACAGAAGCATATACATTGTGAAGAGTAAGCGGAACTATTCTCGCCAGGCCAGATTTGAATAGTACGGTGAGACCTCGGACCGGTGGTAGAGTGCTCTTGTGGATTTTGATTTAATAAAAGAATTCTGCTGGTCCTGGCGTAACCATGAAAATGGAAGAGGTTAACGTCGGTGGTCTCGGCGTCGGCGTCACGGTGGACATCCAGAGAACTGATGGTAAGTCCCAGGAAGGTTAACATTGTGTATTGTTGGTGTCTGTCAGAGAGAGACACAGGAGCTATTGGTCCGGGGCCACGTTACTTGCCTGGTCCCTGGGGTCCCTGGGGTCCCTGGGGTCCTGCTGCACTTGTTGGTCACCCCAGACCTGTAGGGGCTGTAGGCCTGAGGGGAGGGTAGGGGGGTGATGGGGCGGGATGGGCACATGCTTCCTCCTCGCTGGCTATTTAACCCCGTTAACTCGATGTCCTTAACTAGATGTTGAATGCTATTGGTATAAAAAGTGATATTTAGTTTTGGTAGTTAACATTTTGGTATTACACTGTGGTCGATAGTTTAGTCTGTGAAAGCCTATTTTGAAATAAATTGGTAAATTTTTTGTTAGTAATTGGGCAAAGAGTATATCCTTGCTCCCAGTAATTGGGCAGGGAGTATGTCCTTGCTCCTTGTGAGAGTATATCCCCAAGTGTGGGGTGGCAGAGACCCAGAGGCACTTGAAGATGTTACACGACCACAGTCACCTCAAACATCTTCTGGGCTACTCATGCCCGTGCTACCTCTTAATCTTCATCAGTCTAGGGGGTGGCTGGTCAGACTGTACACGGCCGTCACGCAGGAATTGTTCATATTGTTACAAATGTACATATATTTGTAGTTGTGCCGG